TGAAGAACTGAAATTCAGTTATGGTCATCTAATTTGGGGAAGCAAGTCACTGACTTTGCTCAGGGCCAGCGAGAGTTCTTCGTGACCAAAAATACGCCATTTTGTTGTGTATCAAGGTGACCGTTTAACAGAGGAAAATAACAATAAATTTACAAATTTACAGTAAATACTGGAAGCAAATTTCGGGAATGGTTTGACCGTATTACTAGTTTCAATTTAAAAATACGACGCACGTTAAGTAAGCCATTTCCGAGTTGGCTCAAGCCTCTGTTTCATAGCGAGGCTAAGTGCGAAGCCTTTGATATAAATATGATTTTTTATTTTCATTCAAATAAACCTTGCAATTAGCCTCGTTCTGAAAGTGAGGGTTTTTGGAACTTAATGGCCGACTCATAGGATCTCTCTGTTCTTTTGACGTCACTTCTCGAGGCTGGAGTCCAGGGTTTCGTCCATCGTTGGCGTTGGCCATTCTATAGGGGCCGGCTAAGTTTGCAGTCAAGGTCATCGAAGAATGAAAGTATGAGAATGCATTAGTTCTAAAACCAGGAATTCTTAGGTCTTTTTCATTTTAAAGAGTTTTGCTAAGCCTTCGAAGAAGCTCTCTATTGAGACCTTCAACGGGTTTGATCACCAAATTATCCTTTCTTAAGACAAAATAGTCCATCTATAAGATGATATGAAACCTATACTGATGATCGGTATCTCCCGTAACAGAAACAATTGAAGCTACAGAATCGCATTAGCTGCGATAAAGCTTTCTTTCCACAAGAAGTACCAAAACTGAGCATTCTTTTAAACTTGTTCTTTCCATGTGCAACCAGAAAAATGTTTAAAAGCTTGTGTATTTTAAACCTAATAACGCGCCGGCCATACATTCAACTTTTAAAAAGTCCTTCGTCCGATTTAATAATAAGGCGAGGTAAGGTCGACTGTGGCAAGTCTAGCTATACGTTGTCTCGTTACTTGACATAAAATAAATACGCCCAACCTCATTCACTATCAAAGTTAAACAAGGCAGAAATCTACACTCTTATTATTTTTAATCAATAGTCTTCTTTCTTCTCCATTACCTTTTAGGGTAAAAACAAATAGTATATGATGCCCACAGAAATCCCAGTCAACCCTTTTTAGGTCTTTTTAATACTTCATGCTGAAGAAAACTTCCGGCCTGGGAAAGAAAGGATGTGTGGTGTCTTGCCACTCAATACCTGGGGCGTGAACCAACATTTCCGTCCTACGTCCGGTGCAATTCTCAATAAGGAGACTATTCTGCTGAGACAAGAGCCATAGGCTCAGAAAATCACAAGATACTTACGAATAAATATCTTTTTTCCCCTTCGATTCAGCGATATCCCTCCGAGAATTCGAGCCTGGGCTGGGCCCAAACAGTGTTTCAGGAAACAGGGAATTAAGATCGGCATGAATCAACTGGATTTTCTTTTTACTGAAATTTAACGTAATGTAAATTAAAACGATTGCTATTGCCGTTTAATAGTCTGAATTTTTAACCATAACTAACTGACCCATGTCTTCGAGTCATGTCTTTCACTGACCCATGCCTTCTTGTTGATGCATTCTCATTACTCTCATTTATTCAACCCCATGGTCTAAAAAGAAAAAATAATCAGTCTAGTTGACTTGGACCTTTTAATTTTAGCTGGCTAATTTTACGTTTTGCGGAGGAGCTACATGGCGACAAAAAGATTCCCACTGGCAAATAAAATAATATAACTTAACCACAAAAGCCGCTAGTACAAATCGCATTCGTTTCACTTAGGGTCACCGTTTCACTGTTGTCCTAGCCTCCCACGCAGAGGTTCTTAGGAGTTCGTCACGCGTTCCTGCCCTACGTTCGTTGGGGAGGAATGCGTAATGAGCACTGGGGAGGCTTCTGTCGTCCCTGAGAGAAGAGTCATTAACCGGTTATACAGTTAATTTTTTACTAATACGAGTTTCTTCAGCGAAAAGTCAAAATGGATTTCAATGGATACGACGTTCACTTATCAGGAGTTCGAGCTAAGAAAATAGCAGGCCATTCCCGCAATTTTACCGCAATTTCCGACGGAGATCTAGCTGCAGGACTCAAACCAATTTTCCAACCATATCTCCTTATATGGTGCTTAAGCAAATCCTGAACGTACTCAAGTTAAAAGCTCAACAAATGCTGAAGATTTTGAAAGACAACCAGCCGAATTATGGAATCTAAAAATTTATAGCCTTTTCCAGGTGTTCAGATAGTGAAGCGATGCTAGAAGGGATAGAAATCAAACGAGCGAGAAAATAACGAGTAGAGACCGCCGCCCTTCTCAGTCTTCTCTGTTTATTTATCTATTTATTTATTCATTTATTTACTCATTTAATTTTAATATTCATTTATTCATTATTGTTTTCCTCTCCCTATTTTTAGTCCTCGCTCCTCGGAACACCTGTGGATTTAAATCCTGGAAAACATTTCAAATCAGATTGTCCGGCGTATCTGGCGTATATGTCGATAATGTGTCACCAAGTCAGATCCACTGTAGCTTTTGAAAAGCATTTTTCCTGTCCACCATTTTTCAAAACACGTTTGCCAGTTAATTCACTTAAAAGCTGATGAAAACAAAGGTAAACATTACAGTAACACTCTCTGACCTTTCATGGGTTTCTTTGACTTCCAGCTACGTGATACAAGTTTTTCCAAGTTAGGTGTCTGAGGTCTGACGAACGTAATCATAGAGTTTGACCTGTTCTTCGTCATAACCTCGCATAGAACGTACCTTGATTGTCGCTATTGAGAAATTATTGCTAGCAACTGTCCTAGAAATTTTATTTTTGGTACTTGTAAAAACGTGAAAAGATTAACTGACGGTAAAAACTACATCTTCACGTATAAACCTGACTTCATGAATCGGAAACGAGCGAATTTGGCAACGCTTAAGTTTTGACGACAGTTTTTTATCTCGTTTCAGTGACAGTAATCCGCGTATAAACCAATCATGGTGTTAGCGGATATGACGTAATGAAAAGGCCTTCGGCACCATTCGAGAACAGACGGTCAACACTGAGAGAAAGGCGGTTTACAACACCAAACATCGGTTGACGACTCACGGTTCTACGAGGGTTTTAGGAGCTGAGTTGAAGGATAGTTTTTTTATACCTGTAGATATGTGGAGCTTCGTTGCTGTGTGTTTAATACTGCACTTGTGTGCGTGGACAGTCGCCGACAGCAGTAAAAAGGTAATGAGAAATCAAAAGCTATCCTCTCTGACACCAGTTTACACACAGCTTCGGGAGATTCTCATCTTTTTGTGGGAAGCTTGTATTTCTATCATCTCATTCTGCTTTCCCAATACGTAATATGATGTTGATCCTCTGACGGTAGGGGTTTCTTACGATTCGCAGGATCGAATGAGTCATCTCAATGCAGCAGAGAAACAAGGTAAGCAAGATGAATAAATTCCTGAAAGACAGAAGTGACTCTTGTAGTCACAGAATTACTGTCATTCATTTGATCGGATTGTTGCTTAAAGTCTGCAAGCCGTTTCAGTAAGATTAGCGCAAATCTTCATATTAAAAGCAATTCTCCTTGCCTTAGGTGAAAACCCGTTGCAAAAAATCTCCAACAGCTATCTTCTAAGTACATATAGTTTAAATACTAGAGAACAGAACCCCAATTTGCCTAACCCGAGTGTTCTCGTGGCTGTGTCTTAAAAAAGAGTTTCACCGCGCACGATTGCGGTCGGAGCTGATTGATTAACATGTCCGTAACCTTTCCTCTTGGCACACCACCATTGAAAGCCTTTTATTTCGGAAATTCAAACTTCATTTTCTTGACATCGCCAAAAGGTCACTGCACTGAGCGCCTGCTTCACGGAAATGCAACACTAGATACCTACTAAGATAGCACACAAAAGGCGACTGTTTGTTTATGCTCGCACCACTGAAAGCTGAAACTACAGAAATTTCTTGCAGCCTGTTACTTGTGCACTAGCCCTGTTAAATCGTATATCGTAGAGGATTGTGACACTCAGAGCTCACCGGCAGATGTTCCGTCGATGTTCCTTATACCCAAGGCTTGCATGTATACTCAAGGGGACACCAGCGTCTTCCGGTAGCAGGCGTAAACGGGGAGGGGGTTGGGAGAATAGTAGGATTGTTTCTCGCTATCGTCGCAAGACCACCTGTGAGACCCGGCTGTATGAATATAAGTATGTTGATATCGAGAATGACTACGTGAAGCCAGTTCTATTAGCAGCTTTTAATATTGTCGTTGTATTACTGTGAAAGTCCGTTTAAGAACCATTTCCTTTGCTAACAAATTTCGGAAACTTGCTGGCACGAAAGGAAATGTAGCCGTCGCTTACTATAAAGTGGAAACGTCGGTAATGATACAAAAAAAAAAAGCAACTGTTGAAAGCGGTTCATTTTTCTCAAGGTAATAAGCCCCTCTTTGTTGAAAATCTCGTCTTAGTAAAATGGCTTCGACAATTCCTCATGTTTCCGTTTTTAAAACCCTTTAAACTGTTTCAATTAACTTCCAAGAACAAACTGGCGCATTAGCAAAGTAAAAACTCTAAGAAGTGAAAATTTGACAACTTTTGGTCAGAACTTCTGCGCTTTACACTAAATAGTGACGTCATTAGCCGACAAAACGTACGTGTGAAATCTGATGAAAAATGTCAGGATGATTAGGACAATTAAACCTTGCTGTTAACTGGTGTTGAAAGGTGAATAGGGGACGAAAAACATGGAGGTGACTAAGCAAAAAAAATCAGAAAAATCCAGAATTTTTTTCGATTTAGGTCTTTACCCACCACCGGTGGACCGGTGGCTTTTGCCCTCTAGCTGAGTTGCCTGCGTTCAAAATCACACCCTTGTACACTGCTGAGTTATAATTTTAAAGTTACTCTGCGCTGCTCTTCAACCGAAGAAATGAAAACCCAGTTACATTCTCAAATCTCCATTTTTGGGCAAAGGAAAAGATAAAACTATGCCTTTGGAACGTTCTACATGCATGAATTATTAAAAACAGCTAGCAAATGTCACATGTTCAGAAGATCAAACACACGTTTATTAAATACCGATCATTTGTTTACCAGACGACCTTGCATGAACTCGTTCCATTATATAATAATAAAGTAGTTCTTTCATAATCAAGCTCGTGAACCAGTAGGAATGTAACCATGTTCCCGTTATTAATACTGTGAACAGCTGCGATCAAACCCGTGCACCCATCCCCCAGGCGAAAAAACAAAACAATCCTTGAAATTTTGGTGGAAACAAATCTCAGTTGTGCATATACAACTCAACAGGTGGGCTTGAATTCATGCACATGTACAGACCCATAAATGATTCCAGAAATGCAAACAATCTCAGCTATTCCTCTTTAGAAAGCAATGTGTGTCAACCACCTTCCCATATAACCTTCTCTTATAACAAACCTTCACTTAATGGAAAATTTGGTGCAGGTCTGGGCAATAACACTGTAATCGCATTGTACAAAGAGAGACTTGTAAATAAATTTTTTGAATGCGTGATCCTCACTAAGGGTGAGTTTCTTAGGAGGATCTAACGTTATATTTTTGATCTCAGAAAGAAATGAAAAACCGAAAATGGATTCTTTGGCATACCAGCAAAATTGGCGCGAACCGACAAGAACATGGCAAGCCCATATTCCACTGGAAAGCCGCTGTGTCCAAAGGAACGCACTGATCGTGAATCCCAAATATCTGGATTTAGATTTAATCTAGTAATTCTACTCGGCGTGTTGATTCTTTGGATTAGCAGAGAGACGCAAAATCTGTTTTTAGGATTGGATTTTCCCGAGGAAATTCTCATTTGCCCGAGTGAAGCCTTGCAACAAAGACACTACAGTGTTAACTATAGTCAAGCAATGCAATACACGACTTGTAACTTACTTCAATTTCAAGTCCGAGCCTTTCCCTCCTTCAGACTGCAATGAATGAAAATGACCTCTGTTTTTAACATTTGTTTTTGACCCAAGAGAAGTAGTGCAAAATTAAAAAGCTAATAAGCACCTTAATTTTAATAATAGATAGCCATGGCAGTCGTTTTATCAATCAGGCGTTAAAGGAGAACTGAAGTAAAAAATCCTTCCATTTTTGTATCACTTGGCGAGACAGAGCTCGAGTGGCATGGATCGAGGTAGCGCGCGTGTAGGCTCGAGTCCCGTTATCTCACGGGTCCGGTCTTTGATCCTTCCCGAAGAGGAAGCATGAGTGCGGGCTCCCGGACAGCGGCTGATAATCGAGCCTAGGCAGCATGCGGTCTAAGGAATAATGATTTCGCATGAATAGCTTTATAAGAAAATTTACGACAGTCCCAGATATGAGCTAAAATTTTGGTAGTCAGGAATTTTCCTGACATTTGAAAAGTTGGCCAGACGTAATCTTTGAGAAGCCTGCTGAAATCTCCGACGACTGAAGCATGGTGTCGTTCTACGTGTGCTCCTAATGGCTTTGTGAGTCCTCGTGAGGTCCGGATATCGGATATAAATTAAGTGGATGGTGCAGGTTTCTAACAACCGTCAAAAAAACTTTACAGAATTGCGGACTACACTGACATCTACAGGTAGATAAAAAAGACCCGACAACTGGAGCTTAGTCTGCTAAGAGGATTAGGCATAAACTCATTTTGCGTTGAAAGGACTCTTAATGTGTCTAGTACAAAAAGCAAACACATTTTTATAAGCAATGAATCTTTGCAACCAATTAGTGGACCGCTCAGGAAGAAAAAATAGTGCGCCAAAATAAGACCGTTTTATATGCAGGTTGCAAAGGCAAAAGTTAAGCGACAGTCCTAACATTAAAATGAGTCAAAAAATGCTCTCGTCCGCTCTATCAACCGACGCCATAAAGGACGTTTTTTCATCGATTGTCGTGAAATCATTATCAGCGTAATTATAGACGTAAGACCGGTGCCAAGGGCGGGAAAATGTCATGGTTGGTTTGAGCAAAGTTTAGGTTGTACTTCTGATTGGTTAAAACGTGGCTCTAGATCTTTATGGAAAGCACCAGGCCCCCACGGCTGAAACCATATATAACCAGCGGTTAAAGCGACATCATGGGCTAGCGAACTTTCCCTAATACAAAGAAAAGAGTCAAAGGTTCACCTTTTTTTACGGCGAACGTCAAACCGCTCGACTATTTCGTTTTTTAGCCATCGTTTGGTCCCTGGTCGTTTACCTGGTGAAGACGTGGGCTTTCACGTTTATTTACATGTACGACTTGAGCGAGAACTTTATTACATTATCATTCTCGGATACATAAGCAGTCGTTAAGCACATCTTCCGTTTACCGTTTCCGGTTTGCCGTGAATTTGACGCTTTGAGAGGTTAAAGGTGGTCCAGGGATCAGGAAGGTACTTTCCGGAAATTCGGAAAGGGGTCCACAGCGGCCTTGGTGATTCTCCTTTGTCTAAATGATAATTGTTACTTTTTTAACACTTTCAACAGAGCACCTGATCAACTCGCTGTCAGAGTTTGATATCACTTACCCAACAGAGTTGGATGATCGAGGTCGCTTTAAAGATCACGTGACTACCTTGTCCAACCATCGACGTCGTCGGCGAAGCACAAGCGAAGAGACTGGGCCGATAACATACCAGGTGGGAGCGGGAACCTACTAAGAACCACATATACCGCGGTCAAACATGTGGTGTTTTTCGTTTAATCTAGTGCTATACCATATTACCATGAAGTGGACACAACGGCAAGGGTGTAACAAATACTTGATTTAAAAATATGATTCCTTTTTCCCTAAATTAAAAGTCTTTTTGTGTTTTTGGGAAATGGTTCGCGCTCGAATAAGATTTTGTGACCTTAACGAGTTAGCAGCTTCCGTGTTCATGCAAGTCCAAAAAACTTCTTAACAAAGAGAATCAAAACAAGTTACCTTGAATAACAGCGTATAAGAAACGTAACGATTTTTAAGCAATGAAAATGACAATCTGTGGTTTTAAGTACAAGCTTTCGCAAATCTCTCTCATTTGACTAAATAATCACACTGCCCAAAAGCAAAAGCCACCTGGTGTTACTTTTTAAAGAATCTCTGTCTTTTACAGATACACCTGCTAGTTGTCACTTTGCAGGTAAATTCTTTAACAAATAAATTGCAAGGCTGGGTCTTCGCTGGGAAAAGAGACATCTATGTTAACGAAAATATTTTAATTGACTGTTCAGTTGCTCTTCTTTGAGATTGCTTTACCACTGGCAATATTTGTAGAATGGGTTAGGTCATGGTTTTTTGCTGAGATTAAGTTTATTTTGCCAGTTTCTAAGAGACTCACGCTTTCATTATTTAAGTAAAAATTCTCCCTATTTTTTATAGGTTAGCTATAAGGGAAAGACCGTTAAACTCTTTTTGAGACTAAACACAAAGCTTTTCGGATCTGATTTTGTCGTTGAGCGCCATAAAGAAGATGGTAGCATTGAAACGAAAACGGTAACGGATCAGTGTTACCTAGTCGGAGAAGCTGAGTCATTTCACACCAGTGTGGCCATAAGTGACTGTGATGGACTGGTAAGAAACCATTAATTTATGCATACTGTGATCTCATCTAAGATCTCATCTTAAGCTACGGTAAAAATGGACAACAAAACGTGCAACTTGTTTCGAAACATTGTTGCAAAACGATTTGAATAGCGATGTTCACGTTGTACCTATCACGTTCAAACCTGTCTTTGAGCAAATCCGGTTGTGGCAGGTTGCCTGAATACTGACTACTGATTGGATGAAATTGCGCGGGATTATGGGAATTACTTCACTTGCTGTAAAACAAGTTCTTCGCGTTGGGTCGGTAAAACGCGCGACATGTACAGATTTTGTTGCAAAAGTAGAACTACTTTCGACTTTCGGCAACAATTTTGCGTAACCTGCGACAACTTGATTTGTTGCAAGAAAGGTTTAAACGTGGGTGGTAAAACGCGCAAAATCGTTTTTCAACTCGTTTTGCTGTAAAAAACAAGTTGCACCTTTTTGTTGCGGTTTTATCGTACGTTAAGATCTTTTCAATATCATTTAATACTCGTTTATCATTTATAAAGCGAACACCAAAGAATTAACTTATGATTCTCTTTATATAGTTATATTTGATATTGACACGGCTTGGGTTTTGGCTCTGGATTTTCAAGGAACTGTGAATCACACTTTTTGTGACTTACAGCAAAGCCCTATCATTATTCAAACATTGAACAGACGCACAGGGAAAATCAGTCAGTCTCGCGTTATTATCATCTTGTTAAAGACAAAAATATCCCTGTATGGACTGTTCAAGCAAATAACCAACCTAAATGACGCTGGTTCATGCGCGCCCACTACTTAGTATTGCGAATATCTCGCTCTCTTAGTCGTCCTCGTTTTAAAGTGATGTTACACGAGACTTACGCAACAACGATTTTTAGCGCAACACAGCATTGGTAACAATGTTTCGAATGGTTGCAACATTGTACCAACATTGCAACGCTGTGTTGCGCCAAAAATTGTCGTTGCGAATTATCTCGTAAAACATCACCTTTAGAATCTAAAGGACTCTTATAATAGTGATTTCTAAGAGTCGAATATATGCTCTTTCTCTAAGGCAGGAATCATAGAGTTGGGTAATGACACCATCTTCATCGAGCCCGTGTTGAACACAAGTCTGTTAGCCCAACGGGGATGGACCAGACCTGGTAGACCACACTTGATGTACAGTAAGGAAATGCTAGGCCGCAACCAACTTCATGATTTGTCGTTTGACAGATTTGACGATGGCTATCTCAGAAGAGGACTGAAAGGTTAGTAACTCTCCGTAATCCAAATTCTAATTTCTTAAGAATGTCAACGTACGTGCAATGAAGGACGCATATCATGAAGCGGACACCTTACAGGACATGTATGTTATAGAGTCCTTATCATTTTCTTCCATATTTTTCATTAAATGAACCAGTATAGAAAGAGCCTCTCGGATTTCCGGTTAATACAGGTTTTATTGCACGTTTGTATGATAATGTCCCAAAATAGTAAATGAATACATTACGTTGATACCATTTGCTTTAGAAAATGAAACAAACTGAAGAAAAAAAGCCGGCTAATGCTACAATCCCGGACAAAACTACTTGAGAAAGTTTTTCCCATCATGTTCACTTTCCTACGCAACAAACCTATTTCCAAAACGACGCCTTTGTGGAAAAAAAAACCCTTCCCCCAATTCAATGTTGCTTCCCACAAACGCCCAGGGATCAGGCTTTCCTTTGAATACACAACAACATTGCTTTCAGGGGAAGGGGGAGAGGGAAGAACCGGTACAGCTATGATGTTTCCAAAAATGCTGTCCAAGTATACAATTTTCCCAACAGTATTGTCCAAGATTGTAGAAAAGGGGCTTCATTATTTTGAGAGGAATGATGATCTATTGATCCTTTAAAAACACCAAAACAAACGAACAAGCGCACATCATCTGTGTCATCATCATTGTCAATCTTACCTTTCTTAAAGTTTCCACCTTCCAGATCCGGTTGTTCGTTTTCAGCGTTTTCCTTTAATAACGAAGAAAAAAATATTGATAATATTGATAGAGTAGAGGAATTAACATTTTATAAAATAAGAGAGGTTCTCTTCGACTGCCGTAAGGAAACCAGCTCACTATTCATAACCCCACGAAAACCGTTTGGTTCAACTTGAGAGTGGTTGAAAGGAGAGGCGTACCTTTTTAGGAAGAGATCATCCCATAATGATCTCTTCAGTGCTTTTTATTCAGTCAGAACGTTTAATAGCAGTAAAAAACAACAGATGCAAATCACGTATAGACCCGAAAAACAAAGGAAGAAACAAACTACAAGAAAAACACTTTTCTGTATGTGTGCTTATAGCTAAGTAATAACCCAATCAAATGATCTCCTGTATTCGGTACGTGAACAAAAACTTTGATCTCCGCAAATACTGCTAAATTTTTATTTCCTAGTGGAGAAGAAGCTGATCGATACAGCGGCAGCTTCTCAAAGTTCGTACATAACGCTCATGAATCTTGCAAGACGTGCAGTTAAGGTAATTAGTTATTTATATAAAGGAGAAACTACTACCTTGTCACTTTAGGGAAATTTACCTTTTTCTTCTTGGTCATGCCATTTTGGTGACGTATCTAGACGAACGTTCGGATCACTTGACCCGAACGGAATGATAGGGCCTGGGAACTAGGAAAAGATCAAGTCATGTTCCAGTGGCTGTGGCTTTGTGTTTCTTGATTTCCAAAATCATTTTGACTCTCCATATTTAATTAATAAATTTTAATTTTAAAAAAGTGTTTTTCCATAACTGCACCGATAATTGTACTTGCATTTCTAGAATCAGTCTCTCAATTCTTTAGCTAATTATTGAGTTAATCAATCATTCATTCTACCAATCAGTGTTCATCGACTAGTAGACTAGTGGTTAATCTTTACTACTTCAATTGTGTCACAGATCTACTATATCAATTACGGAAAGGAACTCTTATTCCGAATTTTGCAAGATGGGCAATCACAAGACGTAGACACTTTTACGGTGCACAAATGGATAGCAAAAGACTATGATACAGGAAAACCACTCTTCATCAACAGGAAAAAGACCTTCATTCCACCCACTGGAACGACTATGAGAAACCGATATCGCGCTAAAATCACTGTTCCACGTGAGTAACACGATACTTAATCGACTATAAACGTCGCAGAAACGAGTTATCAAATTTTAACATTTTATTTAAGTTTTAAGATCAGGAGAGGACTTAGCCTCCCTCAATAAAAATTTTCCTCCTAACTATTCCGGTTAAAAAGAAAAAAATATGAATAATATGAAGCTTTCTGAGGTGCGTCTTTTCTTCGAGTGGAATCTAAACCTCGTTCCCAGGGTTCTTTCCTACTCGTCCTTGGAGTAGTGCCCAGTCCTCGAATTAAAAGGTCTCTTTTAAGGGCAATGTGAAAGTGGAGAATACCGCTACTGACTCTAACGCCGAAAAGCTTTCAAACGTTGCCTTTAAAGCTGTTCTATATATGTTTTTGTCTCGTACAATCTGTGTTGATTTTAGTCAGTGTCGTCTGGGAGAGTGCGCTATTCACCGTCCGATTACCATAGGTAATACCATGATTTGTAGTTATTTTTGGCATTTATACTACTACAATTTCGAAATATCACTCGTGGTATTTATGCCAAATATCACTACAAATAATGCTATTACCTATACAAATACCACGCGGGTGATATTTCGAAATGGGTATACGTAATTTCACGAGCCGTTAGGCGAGTGAAATTTGAGACAATTTTGAAATATCACGAGTAGTATTTAGGCCCAATATCACGTACAAATCATGCTATTATTCGTTTATACTACTACCAACAGAAGGTTTGTAATTTTTACGTGTAGGTATTTCAAATTTAGCTGAAATACCACTGCTCTAAGCCAATCAAACCGCAGAAATTTCTCATGTAGTAGTATAATTTTTGAAATACTCTTTAGGACTCGATTGATAAGAAAGTGGCTAATGTTGGTTTAAGAGAAAATTATCCCTTTCAATTGAAATTTATTAATAGAAGTTAACGGATTAAGCACCCCGTGTTTCTCTTATGAAATGGTCTCTCGATTCATTATTATCACCTACTATTTAATAGAGTAATCTTTTATGAAAGTTTAGTCTTACCAGTTAACCTAAAAGCAAGCTCCTGGTAGTAATCGGCATTCCGTAACAATTCAGCATCCGAAAACTATGAGTAAAAAACTTCAGAATAGACTTCTAAAAAGTCCGTTTTAGTTGGATTATTCTTTCGTGGTTTGCTTGGGAAGAGTTGACTAGTCTTCAAGTCTAACTTCAATCTTCAATCTCTTCAATACTTGTTTATTGCCCCCCTTAACATCAACCCTAACTCTCCGTTCATAATGTTTCTCCATGCGTTTCAGCTGGTCTCAAGCTTCCTCCGGCCACTCTACCTTCTCAGCCCAACAGTCATTTAACTTTTATCAATAGGTCGAACCGATTCGTGAAGGTAAGTCCCTCAATGGGTTTTTCCTTTGGTGCAACCGAGTTGTGTTGATTGTATCCTTAAAGGCGGAGCTTTGTCACGAATTTTAGCCAAATCCAGAATTTCGGAACAAGCCATCTTAAATTGAGCGCTTAAAACTTGTTAATTTTCAGAGCGATAAGGGCGAGTAATTGACAACCCCCCAAAACAAGAGCGTTTTTCTTCCTAGGGGAACTCCACCTATACCCAAATATTGGTCGAGTACCCCTCTACTACACTAAATTTTCGTGCAAATTCTGCGAACAAAATAAATCGTAAACCACTTACATGGCCGGCTTCTTCTAGGCGATTATCGTAAAGATTCAAGTGTATCCGCAGCAAACGTAATCTGCCACTCAACTGCTAAACGGAGGTACTGTTTGACGACTCCTACATGAGAAAGGATCGCTATTTTCATGCGGACATCCGAGCCGGACGAAGGTCTAGCCGTTTCAAGGGCAGACTGAAAGACACCGTTTTACTCCTCAGCTACTTAAGAATCTGAGTCCAGTGCCGGGAAATGGACCCGCGACTCCGCCCTGGGACCCGTTTCTCGAAAGTCCCGAGAACTTTTCGTGTCTGAAAGCTGTTTTATGTTTGCCGTGTATGCACTCAAGATCAAAGTTTCAATAATCAAATTAATGAAATTGAAATTGATAATGAAATTATCAGTTAACAAAGCAAAATTGACTGGTTTGTGAGCTAGGAATTGTGGTACTATTCAACTGGTTTTGATTTCAAAATTTACCTTCGGACCCGAAAAGTTATCGGGCCTTTCGAGAAACGGGCCCAGTGCTGTGCCCTACCGGCTTAGCTCACCCGACTGCGGATATGACCATTTCTTCATTTGATATTTTTTTATTTTTGTCTATATCCCACAGGTGTTTTACGTCGAAGAGGGCGAAACACTGTTCTTCTTAAGCCTGTCCCCAAAGGAAGATGTTGTAGTTAATACTTACACTTCTCACACGTGGTTCGTGAAAGATCTCGACACGAACAAAATTCTTCTTGTAAATGGACACAAGAAGTATATACCTGTGAAAACAGACCCAGAAAATCCGATACGAGTCTTCATCACCGTTCCAAGTTGGTGATAGTAACTCTTTTGAATTGAATAAATCAAGTTCTGTTTTACAGTGCCTTCTTGGCACGTTTTGTTTTCTAAGATATAGTTTAACTTCGGTTCAGAATGTTTTAGGTGGTTTTCGACTGTGCATATTTTTCTAGTATCTAGTTGTCTCAGGCTTAAGGTTGATGTGATAATGATGATGATGATTCCTGATGATGATGATGATGATAATGATGATGACGTGGATGATTACAGAAATGATAATATCGATCTAAATATTATTTAATATTCACACTTGGCTGCGAGGCTTGGGGGAATAAAACAAAAGAAATCGTCTTGAGGCTCAGTTAATGAATAATACATTTCTTTTGTTTTATTCCCTTAAGTCTCGGAGCCAAGTATGAATTTTAATATATCAAAAATGGTCCATTAAAAAAGAAAGTTGGTTGCAGCCTCTCATATAAGGTGGAATCCCGATTTGACGTATTCAAGTGTCAAGACACTCGAAAATTTGGGGGAAGGGCGGTTACATTGAGGTGCTGCTAGAATTCTCATTACTGCTTTTTCTTTATGTGCTAATTCTAAACAAATAAATAACAATTATTCACCGAAGTGGAGGTGGCTAGTGGTGTTACCGAGGCCGCGAAGCGGCCAGCTAAATATCCAACACTACCCACCGACACTGAGGTGAATAATTGTTTTAGTATATACTAAAACAGTGAGATAATTTAGCATAAAAATATGATTTTTAACTCATTTACTGTTGCCAAAGATTATACAGTTTTGGCGCGCAATAACCGGTTTTATCGATAAATTCAAGTAAAAAAGACAAAGCTTTACCTTTTAAAACTTCCAAACCGAACTTCGTCAACTTCTTCGTATACTTCGGGAACAGCTTGCTTGATTAGTCGTGAAATTTCTTTGTTTGTTACGGCAGCAACAGGGAAGGCATTTTGCTCGCAACTTACGCGAGTTTGGCGTCGCTCGCTCGGAGGAGGAGGTGAATAGTGAAGGATATTCACTGACTGAGTAGCCAATCAGAGCGCGCAAAAAACACTATCCACTGTTTTAGTATATTCTAAAAAGGCATATCTGGCATTGCGATTAGTAACGTATTTGTCTCTTCTTCCAGGCACTTTGTCGCTTCCCGATATGATATTTCCAGACATGCTTAAGACAAGGCCCAAGTACATAGAGGTGATGGCAACCGCTGACAGCTCCGTAGTGAAGTTTCATGGCAAGGAAAAATCGGAGAAATATATCTTGACTTTGATGAACATTGTGAGTACTGTCAGTTATAGTAACGCCATAAGGCTTTTGACATTAATACTGATAGCCACATTGTCATGAGCGCTTTAGAACTTGATCTGGAGAGCTATTTCGTGATTTCATTGTTTTTCACAATTACGGTTTTTGACTGGCGTAAAAGTCTCTCCGCCATCAGAGAACGCTAGCCTAGAGTTGGAGCGCATACCAGTCCAGTCTCTTAAAGAAAGTTCCACCTTTTGTCAGGGCTGTCCAGCCAGGTCAGTCTGTCAGTAAATAGTATGCTGGGTAGAAATAAGGGGAGAACTGGGTTTTCAGCGAAAACTTTCGAAAAAAAAGCATGTTTCATTTTCAATGGTTCGGCCGGCCATTTTGGTAAGAGCGCTTAGTCAGGTACCATTTCCTGGGCTTTTGCTGCGCTTTGCGCGCTCTACAATGTATTAACCGCTCCATATCTTTGTCTTGAGTAATTATTGGTTTATTTGATTGGCAGTTTGTGTTGTGATTTGACCAGAGCTTATGTTTTGTATTGACGCTGCTGAACGTAATCATGTGTATTTGCTGCGACAAAAGAGAGCGGAGTTCTACTTCATTGTTAACAGAAGTAGGATTTACACTGAGCAATAGGTTTACAATTATTACGACTGGGCACTTTCTCTTGTTACAGGTCTCCAGATTATTTCAACACCAATCAATCGGCGCTCCAGTATATTTTGTTGTTGTTAAGCTAGTTCTTCTGGAGAAGGATCCGGTAAGGTGTTGTTTTTCTGCTCTAAATTCTTAGTGCTTTGTCATGTTACAACGTTCTGCTATAACATAACTGTGGAAGTTAAGGGGGAAACTTACGAGACAATTACCACGCATTCGTCATAGGACGTCTTCGTTGGAGCTATTTCTCGTCTTATTATGATGCTACAGTGAAACTTCGACAACTTTACGCGGTTGACACTTAAGAATAAGGATAGAAAAAAATAGTTCGTTATGACGGGGCTACGTATGTGCTCGGTTCTGTTTAATAAAGCGTTACTCTAACTAAGGCGAAGTTATAAAATGAGCTTTTCTACATGTGGATTTCTCGATCACTGCCGTAACACGTTCAGTTTCTGCTTTTTTGATGGTACAGTCAAACCTCTTTAATACGGACACCAAAGGGACAGAACCAAGTGTCCGCTTTACAAAGGTGTCCGTATTTTAGAGATGTGGTTAGACTGTACTGATTAGAAGAGCCCTTTTACCATATAAGGTACCGTTTACCAAACACAGATGAAAGGATATTAGTATTGTCCAATGAAGTTGCTCACATTGCCTTTTTACATCCCAGAAAGAAATCAAAATTAATGGAAAGCCAATGGACAGTTTATCAAGCGTTTGTTACTGGGGCTACAAGACAAGGAAAGGCTATGACAAGGTTACCAAGGACTACTATGATCAAACAGTGTTCTTAACAAGGTAAAGAGTCCATAAAAGCGTCTAACGCAGACAAAGTGCGTTTTTCACATTCATTTTTACAAAACATATGTTTCTTAGCTTACTGAAGTTATTCCGAATATTTAGTATAACTATTATTTTTTTGTATTTATTTGCCATTTTTGCGGACCTAGAATTGAAATCTAACTAGTACAGTGTTTGCGATTCAGTCACTGACTTTCCTTATATATCACTATCTCTTCTTTTCTTTTTCTTTTTATGCAGAAAGGACTTCGGCCCGTCAGGTACGCAATCTACACATGTTAGTCGAGTTTACTGGGACTGTTTGTTCTTATGATTTCGCGTTTTTTCAGTAAGCAAAAACTCCGCTCTAAATCTGTGGTGTTTTGGCAACGCTGCTTTCTTAAAACGATTCTTGCGAGGGGGGCATATAGCATATAGCAGCGAAACTTTACATTCACTCTGGAATCAACTTGTTTACCTCAATAGGACTTCGTTTATAATTATCAACCTTGAATAATCAAATTCGTCACCATCCATGTTGTGTCAACAGGTTACGCACCAGTTCATGGTATGTGTTATCGTCTGCGAAGCTGTACACTAAACGAGGAAGATGGATTTGCGTCTGCATTTATTATCGCACATGAAACAGGGCATACGTAAGTTATCGACAAGTTTTTCTTTTGTGATAACTGCACTTTAAGATGAGCGAGGTTCAACTTTTACGTTACGCGGGACCTTTCGTACATCGCCCCTATTTAAAATTTACGTGCGCACTAACATAAAAATTATGCGATAGTGGAAATTCACCCGTAATCGTCTTTAATGATTCATGATTGTTATTCTTCTTCACAGATTAGGAATGGAACATGACGGAGTAAACAATAACTGCTCCAATGACGTCATCAAAGGAAGCATCATGGCACCTCTGGTGCGATCCCGGTTTGACCGGTTTTACTGGTCCTCTTGTAGTCGGCGAGACCTTTTATCAAAGTTAAAGTAAGTTGAGACGCGTCTTAGCTAAGACGCGTCTTATTTTAGATGAAATGTGCCGTTTATACGGAAAGTTCGCGTCTTATTTTTCCTCGTATAAATGGCCCTATTGTCTTTTGTTAGAGAATTAAAAAGACGATATCTGTGTCATTGCTTCATCTACACAAGATTTCATTTCTATATTGACAATGCAAGATGACCATGAAAATTTAAGACGAATGATGTTTTACTATCAATCGGTTTGTGGACTAAGCAAGAGTTGTTTCGATGCGAACGGAAGGTTTTACATCGAGGAGATTTGCGAACTTAAAAGGAATCGAAAACTCACAACTTGACTCATGGTCGACAAAAAAAGTTGTAGAGTGGGTATGGGAACGGTTGAAAATACAGAGCTTCTTTCCGAGTCGCCCTCGACAGAGTGAATCTTAGTTTTTTTTTTAATGTCTGACGGATGTTGCTTTCGTTCTTTCCATGTAGTGCTCTGTGGTGTTTAGACGATGTACCCTTCAGAAATGAGCTTCCTTATTTGAAAAAGCTACCCGGTCAGATTTATACCATCGATCAACAATGTCAGCATGACTTTGGTAGGAATTCCAGGTTTTGCAGTCGGGTAGGTGTATAGAGTTGTTTTTGTTTTTGTTTGTTTTTTTTTTTCAACATTTATCTGCTAGTCCCTAGTCCTCGTTATCCAGAACGGCCTCTGCGTTTCAGGTCACATGGTCCGAGCGAGTTTTCGCGGCCGTTCGTCTCAGATACGTCAGCGAATTGCATTAACCGAGAAGGATTGGGAAGACGCCAGCACAAAAATGTCACAGTGAGAATTTCTAGTTCGCCATGGCTCAGCTGTGCTGAAGTATTACATATATAGTTATGTTATTTACAAGTTTACCTGTGAAATTTTTTTAACAGATGAAGCGAGATCCTTGTGCGGAGTTGTGGTGCGTTCGCGGTTCTTTTTCCGGCTATAATGACCGCTTCTGTCAAACGCGAAGAGAACCCGCGTTGGAAGGAACCAAATGTGGTGAAAACAAGGTACTAAACTAAAAAAACCCATTAAGGGCTCTGCCCACACGAGTCTATGTAAGACCTTTAAAAGGATAAAAATGGCTTCAGTATTTACAGCCTTCCACACCAGAACGATATTCCTTTGTTTACAGAGATAAGTGCTATGGAGGCTGGTCACAAATTTTAATTGTTCACGTGCCAAAAGGTTATGAGTATATCCCGTTTCACGCCATCCTGTCCACAGACCTTTTTCTTATTTTTCGCCCATTCGAGAGCACGAGAGCAAGCACGGCGCGCGAGAATGACTGTTTGAGCTGGCGGTGAATAAATCTCCGGTGGTTTTTATATTCATACGCGCCCTCGGCGATCTCTAAAGAGGAAATAGAGGGTTTGTGAACAGGCTACTTTGAGGCCTTGTTCCCAGAGACCGCGTTTACTCTTGATCAGCGGACGTTGCCCGTCCGAGGCCTCCGGGTCGAAAGAAAGTGCTTTCGAGCTTGGACGAATTCGAGTACGCGTAGTCTTAGCCTACATGCATGCTCTCCCTAGTCCGCCCACAAACGTTTGCGTTTACGAATACCCAAGTACACAAGAACCAGTTAATACTTGGATTAGTCCACTTTGTTCTGCAAGCAAAAATTTTGTTTTGACCATGTAAGAAATCCTTTTAATAACTAAACCAAGTGTTTGGACAATTGTTGTTTGTTCTTTGATGTTTGATGTTTGTTTCGTTTCTTTTCTTCATTTCACGGCCCACAAAAACGCAAAATCCAATATATAATCATCTTGACCTCACACTTGGTCAATAACACAGATATACATAATATTCTTTCTTGATCTGTATTAAAAACAGTAAAAAAAAACAGAGTATTACTGTCTTTACAGTGGTGTCGTCTTGGGAAATGCGTTTCAGTAGATGACCGGGATACAACCATTCCCCTTCCAAGGCCGACTATAAAACCGGTTCATGGTGGCTGGAGTAGGTGGAGTGATCTAAGTGAATGTTCGCGTTCCTGCGGCGTAGGAGTACAGTTCAAAACAAGAAAATGTAACAATCCTGTGTGAGTATTCAAGGTCAGCCATAAAGCACCCCAGAGTCATGCAGGTTGCAAATCTCTGTCAACACAACACTCCATCACGCTACCCTTTCAAGACGTTTAAACAAGTAAGAGGAGTGTAACGAAATGTTTCGTTTTTCAGGCCTAAACATAACGGAAGACCTTGCGAAGGAGAGAATATCAAATTTGAGCTTTGTAATACCATGGTAAGTAGTTATTGGCCAACGTTGTTACCGTGTAGCTCTAATTTTAGATAACATCCTCGATGGATCTTTGGTAGCTGGTCATTCCCAAAGTGCAATAACCGGCAGGTTGTATGAGAGCAAGAAAAGCAGCAAGAGACAAAAAGAGAAAGGCGAAAAAGGCTCGTTTCTCTCTCAAAGCAAAGCACATGTGTTATGTCAGTGTTATGTCTCGTACCTAGGTTGGTTTACTAGCCGTTTTGTGCACACACGTTACCTCGTGCTGGAAACTAACTGGCTGGAAAACGAGCCCAGTCCATATCACGCGGAAAAAGTTGTCTTGAGCATCACCTCACTATAGCTATTTTAACATTACCCTCATTTAATTTTGATTTTGATATAGGACTGCCCAGGAAAACTGTTAACATTTGAGGAAACTCGCAAAGAACAATGTATCAGGCGAGCACCTTTAAAATCCCCAACAACTGCGGCAGTGTGGTCATCATATGACTTATATTCCGGTAAGTATTAAACGAAAATTAAACATGAAAACTAATGGTGATAACAAAAGCAGAACGGGTTTTCCTTTTGCTTTGAATGTAACAAATAAAATTTGCCGATCAAAGTATGCTCAGGTGTAGACAAAGTGTTCAAAGGATTGTTTGGCGAGCAAAGTCCTCGAGAGTAAACGTTCTTTAAAAAGAACGTTTATAATTTAAAGAGATTTCGATCATCCCGATCTGTAATTATATTCGTTAACAACTACTTTGATGCGGCTTTGCTTGTTAGAACGCCAGTACAGCGACAAAAAACGCCTGTAGGAATTATCTTTGTCATATTGCTATTCATTTAAACTTGAATAAATTGCAGTTCACCAAAATTCAAAAGTAGAAAATGTATGAACCGACAGCTGAACCTCTTGATCCAATATAGCTGCCTTGGAAAGAGAGGAACGAAACTGTTGTAGGGTGGTCTGGCCGTTGTAAAGAGGTGTTAAAACAAGGGAACACATATTTGTTGAGGGGAGGTTCCACTATTTGATGACGTGACGAAGAAGCCCTCTTTTTTGTGCGATTTCACTAGATAATGTAACTCTAACCCCAGCCTGAGAAAACAGCCGGCATTTTGGTTTCCCCGAAAAATTGTATCCCAGAACCAAGCGCAGAAATTTCATACTGATGATGCGTCACTAACTGGATATGCGTAGTTCTTCTGAATGGTTAAAGCAAATTCTGCCTACCCAGATCTGGGTAGTGACGCGTCATCAGTATAGAATTTCTGCTCTCGTTTCTCAGACATCATTACGCGGGAAGTCAAGTGGTGGCGTTACGAAATGTTGGCTTTATTTCTCAGGCTACCCCTCCCCTAATCCAATATATTGCACTATGCAAGAAGTTACTGTTAACATTGGATGAGGGAGGGGTAGGTGGGTAGCTTCCCAGAATCTTATCTGATCCATTTCCCTCAGCGAACATCGACTGTGACTTTGAAAAGGGCCTCTGTGGATGGACCAATAATCCCAGTGATGATTTTGATTGGCGTCGCCGCAGTGGACGCACTCCTACGGCTGGCACAGGACCTTCTTTTGATCACACAAAAGGACGCCGTGGTTGGTATATTACATATTTTAGTAAAATCCAGCTAATGGTCTATCATCAATGCTGCGTTCTGATTGGTTGAGCTACTACTAGGCTATATGTTATAGCCCACTAGTAGCGAAAAGCGCGGGCTTTTTGGCGGCAAAAAAGGATTAAAGTCTAGCTTTAACTTGCTAAATTTTTTTATTCTCGATATTTTCGACCAACTATTTGGATTTTACTAAAACAATTATTCCTCTCGCCCTCATGACCTCTGAGTCAATTAATAGCCCATTTGGCCTTCAGCCTTATGGGCTATTGACTCAGAGCCCATTCGGGTTCGAGGAATAATTGTTAAATAAAATCAAACGTTAAGAGCTAGAATAAGATGTCTGTTTGATTTTGAGCGACGTTCTTTAAGGTTGAAAACGGTTTGTTTTACCTTCTCTTCCCATTAAAGCACTATACATACTGTCACATCGAGACTGTGAAAATATAGAAACCATCATTTTATATATATTATTTAGTTTATTTTGTCAAAACAACTGAAGGAAAAAGGTTATGTCCTCACGAGTCCTTTTAACGAGTTGTCTTCTCTCGTGTTGTCGATCAATACATTTCGTTGACGTACAACAAGGTAGGCCCGAAACGAATAGGCCCCGCAGAAAAAAAATTCCCGGTAAAAATCTAGAGGATCTAAAAAAGGCCTCGAATATCCATGGACTACGTGATTCTCCAAAGTGCATATCTGTAAGCCTTTCATTAAATCGCTTCACCTCCGCATTATATTGATTTATTGTTTTCGTTTTATGATTTAGGACATTACGTGTATCTGGAGACTTCTCGACCTGTCCAGCCCGGATGGAAGGCTCGCCTCGTTAGCAAGTACATAGGCATGCGTGTTGCGTGTCTAAAGTTCTGGTATCATGCATGGGGAGGTGATATTCATATGGGAGAACTTCAACTTATCATCAAAACAGACACGGTAAGTACTTGTCTGTTACACAGTCGTTTTTAGCGTCGTCACACAACGCTCCTCCCCACAGAGGAGCGTTGCGTGACGACCCTAAAAACGGCTGCGTAGCGGACTAGGTAGATACATGACATGCCGAATACTTATCTATATCGTGACCTTAGACAGCCGTGATATAGCCCTTGTAACTAACAGACTGTTCAAACTATTTTTAGTTTCTTCTCCCACTGTTTTTGTTAAGCTTTGACTGAAAGGACCTCAATATAGGATCTCTGTCTTCATGTACGTGTATTCGCAAAGCTTCTTTATGTGCACTATTCAATCAAAATTAAGGGCCTGTTTACGTGGAGGCGCGGGACCCCAGGTAGATGAGGTAACCCGCCTGTCCATATAATCTCTCATTTTAATTTGATCACGTTTACATGATAGGTGAGGTGACCTGCCACGTGTTACCTCACCTGTCTGGGGTCTCCCACCTCCGTGTAAACAGGCCCTAAGTCCCTAAGTTTTAGTCATCTTGGAAAGAATTATGCGTCCTCCTTTGAGGAGATGCGGTATTAGCTTTACTAATAGAGCCTGATATATTTCTTGCCTTAGGACGAAAAAGTGGTTTGGAGCGTAAATAAGAATAGAGGAAATAGATGGGTGTTTCACAAGCCTACCACGATATTTAGCAACAAGCCATACAGGGTAAACAATAAATTAAATCTTTATAAATAAATAAATAAAATAAATAATGATTTGCAGGTAGCACATCCACATAGTGGTTCTTCGTCTACCTGATTCCTGGTCGAATTGGAATTTGGAAATGTTGGTTTTTAAGGAGAGGGGAAAACCGGAGTACCCGGAGAAAAACCTCTCGGAGCAAAGGAGAGAACCAACAACAAACTAAACCCACATATAGCGTCGACGCCGGGATTAGAACCCGGGCCACATTGGTGGGAGGCGAGCGCTCTCACCACTGCGCCACCCTTGCTCCCCTTGACACAGAAGATTTTTACATTTTCACGAGCAAAGACATCCAGTTTTCACTTCATCATTTATCCTCGTGGTTCTCTTTCACATCGTCGGCACAAGAGTTATAACCAGTTTTTTGCAGCAGCTTGTAACAACTTCAGAGGAAATTTGCTTTTCCGTAGCGCCACTTCAGTATTAATTCCGTCCGAATACCCCCAGAAATTGTCACCTTGTACAGCATCATAAGCCGTAGCCATAGTTGTAGACGTGGTCATTTAATTTCAGTTGTTACACTTGTGGATTCTTCATACTTAGAGTCAACTTGTAATAATGAGAGTGGCAACAAGCGAACTGGAGGTAAACATTGGAAGAAGAGATAGAACAGCTTAGAACTGTCACAGCATCATATTTGATGATGGTGATCGTTGTATGAGCCTTCTTTTATCTCTTACCACGCAGAAAGTAACTGTTTGCTTTCATTTTCCTTTGAAGATTGTCTTCCAAGGCATTCGAGGTGATGGATACCTCAGTGATTTCGCGCTGGATGATATAACGCTCGAAAATAACCCTTGTGGACTGGGACTAATGCGATTTATGACAGTCAACAACCGTAAGCTTTAATTTCTGGTTTTATCGTATTTGTTTAGACCTTCCTTATATTTTTCAGTCATTGTTAACCTACAATCAGCCTCTATTAAATTGTGCATTTCCAGAGGGGGATTAAATCACAAGTAGACTATTTATTAGAAAAAAACTTTCTCACAAAAACTTTGTGAATAGGGAAACGTAAAAACGTGTTTCGGACAAAATTATTTGATGTGACCTTTCAAATGAAACCTTTTTGGCAGTACCCTCACGTAGTACTTTGTTATTATTGTTGTTGTTATTGTTATTGTTATTATTTTTTAGCAGTTTACAGAATGATGTAGAGTGTTTTCACATGACGTCACGGCGGCCATATTGGTGTCCCAAAACAATGAAAGGGGGGCCATGTTGGTCTACCAAGACAATCCTGTGGGAGTTGAACTCTTTTCTTATGCAAACGCTTTCTTTTGTTCCAAAAAAATTTCATAAGTGTTGGCCACGTGAGTGAAAACACTCTATAGGAATTTTTGTCTAATAAGTTGTACTTTGGGCCCTTCTGGGATTGAAACGGTTAAACGTTTTTGTTTGTAGAAATACCTGTTGATCCATGTCATCAGTTCTGTGAAGCAAACAACGACGGCCAAAGTGTAGACGTGGTTAACGTGGAAGTAGAAAACGGAACTGCATGTTACGACAACCTTAAATCCTTTGACGTCTGCATCCAGGGAAAATGTCAGGTATTTCATAAATTATTGCTGGTTTGCACTTGACGTCACGGCGGCCATGTTGGTGGTGTGTTGGTGGTCAGAACAAAAGCATTTTTCTCCTCTGGGAACCATGCCCTATTTTCATGTAAATTCTTCGAGAAAAAATTCTATGGTATTGACCACCAACACACATCCAACATGGCCGCCTTGTCGCTCGGTTGCAAACCAAGAAAATATTTTTTTGATTTATTTTGTATCTTCAAACGAACGACGACGACGAAAACAACAGAAAAAGTCGAAAAAAGAATTGATTTATGAGCAAAACAACCTCTTTACACGTGCATCTCGTTTTTTCATACATTCCTTGACATCACTGCACGACTCCTGATGCGACGTTTTATGGGGGACGTTTATATACGACGACGAATTTTCCTTTCTCTTTTTTAAGCTGGATAAAGTTGGTAAGAATTCAACTCCAGGAGAAAGCGCCTACATTTAACAAATTGAAAGGGTCCAAATAGACGCGACAAAGTTTCAAACAACGCAAATTCATGTTATCACTTTCAGCGATGTTTTCACTGTCGTCGCTGTGTCGTTTTATTACGCTTATTACTGGTGCTTATTAACGGTGCTGCGCTCTTGTTTTGTGGTAGAAAATCGGTTGTGATGGTGTCATCGGATCGAACAAAACTCTCGACAGCTGCGGTGTCTGTGAAGGTAACAACGATATGTGTTCAGCAACAGCTGGGACCATTACCACGCTACCAAAAGAAGGTACGTGCACAATTATCGTGAACCGACCCTTGTTCTCAGCTCCCTCTGAAGTGAGGGAGAAAAAAGCCTGGGAATGAGCTTTCCGTGGACTTAATTGGTGTTGAGGGTGGGGGGGGCGGGAGTAGCGTTTTTTACGGCGTCTTCAACCGTATTGTATGGATTCTTTGCGTACGTTTCGACTAATGATTAAACTTGAATCCCCTTCGCGAAAGACCATTTAGGATATACCTACCAAGAACAACCTTTTATCCAGCTAGAGATCAGGGTGAGACTTGAACTCGTGGCCTGCTTCTTTGTCTAACACTTAAACCGCTCGGTCACATTGCCTCCTCTATCACATGCAGTTTGGTTTTAAAAACGTTGTGTCATATAGCCTTATTCAGCAATTGATTAAAGGGACATAGTCAGCTTTGGGACCGCGCTGACCTAGACACTAGTTTTGCCACTTTAAAAAGCGCTTAGCTCAACCCGAAATCAAAGGTCGGAGACATCTAGAGATCCGCGTCAATTTTGCCATGTGTTGCATTCGATCTTTGATCTTTTACTGAAAACCTGTTCCTGAGTATTCTTTTTCTCATCCTACAAAATTAAGTTATCATATTTGGTTGAAAACAGTACCTTGTTGTATGCAAATCAGTTAAGGAATAGTATATAATGCGCATGTGCATCAGCTGACTTTGTCCCTTTAACAACTGGCCACCAAATTGAGTGAAATTTAATCATTTAAAGATAACTGCTTCAACTTGCAAAGAAATACTCCCACAAATACAAAAGCAGTTGCGGATGCACAAACTTGAAAAAAATATCCAATTGCAATTGGGGTTTTTTCTTTCTCTGTTTGTAAGTTTGCATTATTTGTAATAGAGTTGTGATTTTGCCATTTAGAACCGAGTAAATTCTCTGCTAACGAGTTACTGGTAAGACTGCACAAAATGGACTGGTTACAGTTTCTTTCAGTTTATGGGATAGTTACTTTAGAGTATCTCCGACCTGTTGTGACATTGTACTTAATTTTTCAATCCGGTTGATTGATATGTAAACTCTATCTTTCTTTCTTATTCACCTCCGTTTTGGTAGGGGGTTCGTTCTCGGGGCTTCCGGAAACAACAACAGCTTCAACAAGAACAGCATTTATTTTCTTTGCAAATAGAATAAAGGAAAGCGCTGTCCCGCAAAATAGCGGAAATACTAAGCGAGGCGCCCGCGAAACCTGTATAGCTGGCTATTATTATAATAACTCATTTGCACTGAAGAAATGAATGAGATGTTACTGACCTTACTGATATTGAAATATGCATTAATGTGTCTACAGACTGAAGTGGCTTATTTTAAAATATTCTGTTGATTCTATAGATCTTGAAACATTGTTAGAGTGTCCAGTGGGTGCAACCGATATCATGCTTGAAGACTCGTCTCCAAACTTCCTAGGTAAGTGATGGTACTAATTTCGTATTGTACAGCTACAGTTGTAGATTTTTCCAAGGCTCTATTACAAGCCGCTGTTCGGGTAGCCTTCGAGCAAGCTATCCACTTGGGGTGGTCGCGAGAAGTCGCGCGAGAGCAGCACGCGAAAGGTGACGCGAGTGCGTTCTCTGGCGGTTCCCTTCGCTCGCCATAAATAGAGAGCTTGCTGGCGGGCTACTGTTCGGGAAATGAGATTTATTTTCCTAAATTCCATGTGGTTTTATTATTAACAGTTCTAGACGCCATGGGAGCAGAAAAGGCTCATTTCGTAGGCTCTGAACAGACGTCAGTGTCCGTAGTTTATGAATTTGCTGGGACAAAATTCACTTACAAGAGAGAAGGCGACATAGAGGCAATAACCACTCCGGGACCCATCAAGGATAGAGTTGTAGTGAAGGTCAGATGGTATTCCGTGTATGTTATTGTGGCTGCAAGCACAAACCTAAATAATAGCTCAACGGGCGTGTCTGTTGTCAACTGAGAAGTTTCAGGTTGTTTATCATTTACTTAAGCAAACCGGTCGGTAAACGGTTTGGGGGAATGGTAAGCAAAATTTAGGACTGATAAATTTCGTCCCGGAGTCGGGTCGATAAACGACCGCGAAGGCCTGAAACTGGTAACAAAGACGGCTTTGAAGAGATGGAACACGAATTTCCGTTTCGAATATCCCGTCCGGAAAAATAGGACTACCTTTTCAGATGTTCCATTGCCCCCGGAAATTCTCCGCCGGAACGACCAAAAAAGGTGTGTTCCATTTCCAGAAACTTCTTGTAAATAGTAAAAAAAAACGGTTTGCTTGAAAACAGCCTTAGTTTAAAATTTCTAATTGATTCACATGCAGGTTAAGATGAGTGACCAGCCAGCAGTACCTATTAGTTTACGCTACCAGTTCTACAAACCCACCACTAATGGGAGCGAGTTCTTCTGGTCGCATTTCAAGTGGTCTGACTGTTCCAAAACTTGCGGGGAAGGTTGGTACCAAAGCTCACGAATAAGTTAAGCTTTATTTGTCCGTCCGCCATTGTTGCTTTTGATATGTTTGCATGAGGTCTGGGTCAAAATGACCTATGATTGGTCTGCGGCCTTGTACTTATGCTCTCGTGCTTATGTCGACCCCGTTTTCACTAGTCAAGCAAAGAGAAAGACAAACTTGTCCGTTTTTCTGGTGCTTACGCTTATGCTCATGTGGCGGCAGTTTTCACTTGCTTACACATGTGCTTATGCTTATGTTTATGCTTACGCGTCAGTGAAAACCAGGCTTCTAACGGGCTATAGGAAAATCCTTGTTTACATTTTTGCCCCATTCACATATGTTTACTATCATCTGATGAAGCTGATGAAATAAGATCTCTGAATATTGAAAATTGATAGAGCATAAAGATTTCAGTCATATCTGAAATTTGAGCCCGATATAGCGAATAGTGTCGGAGAAATTTGCTGTGGAAAACTCGAAACTTTACGAAGAATGTATGGGCTCATTAACGTTTTTACCTCCCAGTAATTGCGCAGTTTTTGATTGCTGCCATTTCCTTTGTTATTTTTTGCAAAGAGCTGAACGTTGAACAAACTGCTCAAATTAACCTGCTCTTTTAGCCGGTATTTTTCTATGGGTTAATTTGTATGCTTATGAGCAAAAATATAAACGACATTTGGACGATGATGATTGCACGCCAATATTTATGCATTCTAAACCACCCATTCCCTTAGCCATAAACAACGTAATCTGTTTATTGGTTCAAGTTGTCATTTTGTCTTTATTTATGTTTTTGTTTTTGTTTGTTTGTTTTTTTTTCTACTCATTAGGTATCCAAACACACTTATATAAATGCCGCAGAAATGATAACAAATCAGAGGTTGTCAAGGATAATTGTTTCGCGTTGATCAAACCCGAACCTTTGACGAGACCATGTAACTTGACAGCTTGCGAGAGGTATACATACATCGATTATCAGGAATGGGTATCTCACACTTAAAGAGACTATCGTTAACTTAAGCTGTAACATACGGGACCACGATTTGGTGCCCGTCGTAGTTTTCTTCATAATAAGGTGTTCAAACTCGTCCAAAGGTCCAGTAAGCAATGACTAATGGTGGTTAAGATGTGGAGCGGATGGGGAAAGGAAATGTTTGCTTTGGGGGATGTTAAAAGAAATCACTCGGGACTTAATAACCTGTGGCAGGGGATACCTATTGTCAAATTGTAGTAACAACTGAAATAAGAGAAGTTTAAAAAAACAAGTAAGGAAGGTTTGGTTACCAGTGTTTTTTGCAGCGTCTATGACTGTCGACGGTGTAACTAAATGTATGTATTAGACATTTAGTAAACTTCATGGCGCGTGGATTATTTCAGGTACTGTTCATTTCCAATAATTTTCCTTTTCTGATAATCTTAAATTCCCAACCCAATTCTTCATAACCAGCTAGTGTTGACAAATTTGGAAGATATCTGCCGATATTCCGACATTCTTAAAAATGACGTCAATTTCACAGACAGTTGACAGAAAAAGAATCAGCAGAAAGCGCATTGGCTCAGCTGCTTCAGTCGGCAGTGCAGAGCTGTACAAGGGTCGAGAAAATGGCGAAAGGTTTCACACGTTATGCAATAAGAATTAAAAGCCCGAACTACTGCCTAAACATAGCAATTTTAGGAGTTTAAGAAAAAAAACCTACATTACATCGTCGACAGTTATAGAGACTCCGTAAAAAGACACCGGTAACCAATGCTACAATACTTGTTTTTTAAACTAGCTGTCCGTTTCGAATTAAATTGTTATGGTTACATTTGCGATTGTCTCGGGGAGATGTTTTGTATTCCAGTTGAATGATGTACACTTAGAAAAAAATATACAGAACAAAAATTTTGTCTTTCAAATTAGCTCTATACATCCCCATGAATCAACGAAAGCTTTTCATTCTATGTTCCCACCAACATCGTAGCTCTACAACTCGAAGTACAAACAACAAAACACAATCCCTTGACTACGTATACCTCCTACGCGTCAAATGTCAGCTAATTAAATCTCTTAACGTTTGTAAGGTGACTTTTATGAAAATCTTATTTCTGTGCGTTACAGGTATGTTTGGAAAGTGTCCAATTGGACGAAGTGTTCTTCACTTTGCAATGGCGGCAGCCAAAATCGTACAGTGGAATGTAGAGGAGTTTTAGTAGATCGCCAGGTCAACTCTACACTGTGTACTGAGGAAAGGCCTGAGAAACAACAGATATGTAACGATCAACCTTGTCCGGCCGAATGGATTGTGGGTAACTGGACTCAGGTACGTAGGGTCTTTTTAAGGCCTGTTTATATGGAGGTGGGGGACCCCAGGTGGGTGAGGTAACCCACTTAGGTGGGGTAAGCCGCCTGTTCACATAATCTCTCATTATAATTTGATCACGTTTACATGCTAGGTTGGGTGGCCGTATGGACAGGCGGGTTATCTCACCTACCTGGAGTCCCCAACCTCCATATGTAACCAAGCCCTTAGACTGGCACTCCGGCGCCATATTATTTTAGGGACTTAAAGATCCGGCGACGGTAAAGGTAACAAGAACGTAAAAGGAAGTTTAGTCAGCTGAACAACAACTTGGCACTTGCATCACACTTGACATCACTGTCACACCAAATCTTTTTGATGAAAGTTGTGTTACTGTCTTTATTGCTAACATTTTCTTCGTTGCTGGATTCTTGGATACTTAAATAGTGATTAGCCGTCGATAAATACACTGGCCGCGAAAACTGCTATTCAAAAGTTGCTAAAACCATTAGACATAATGATACGAGCAATGGTATGACTGACTTAGAGCAAAGAGGGACCTAGTCCCGATTCATAAAGCAACCTTTTAAGAGTCTGGTGCTCTCCTTGCATTCCCATGCTTGTTAAACCGCCCTTGGCCGAATTACTCCCGATCCGTGCAAGAGCATCCTTTACTACAGAGAGATTGGCTGCAGAAAGGGACTCCTCTACTCTAAAGATGCTTTATGCAATTGGTTCCATTATCTTGAGAAATCTAGTTGGCAACTGTCAAAACGGATCACAATCTCGGTAGGCTTAAGAATTCGTCTTACGCTCTTGAAGAGCAGAACAATTTGTGGAGAGCAGAACAATTTGAAGACAGTACTACTTTGCCTTACTAAAATTCAACAAGCAATAGCTTATCAAGACAGATGGGGAGAAAGTGTTTGAATTTTTTTAACCCCTTAACTCCCAGAAGGGAGTGGCATGTAACTTCTCCTTAGAACATGCAATACATTGTCCAACATACTACTGTTGAGAATACGTAAATTTATCAGCCAGATGATATTATATTGATATAACCCCAAATTACTTCAATAAAATATACTAAAATAGCAGTCATGTAAGAGAATTAATACATGTAATCAAATCTTGGGAATTTAAGGGTTAAATTGGCTCTATTTCCTTGTGTTTTAGTGTTCTCGCACCTGTGGAAATAGTGTTCAACAACGTTTAGTGGAGTGCAGAAATATTTTAGGAGCTGTCTCATTAAACTGTCCACGTGATGCTAGGCCGCCTCAGATGAGAATTTGCAGAAAAGTTCCCTGTGAAGGAGAACGTAAGTGGACTACACGTTGCTAACTTATTTGATGTAATGTATCAAGCATGAGTTACAGTGTCTCATGTAATATATCAAACATGAGATGCATTGTTTCATCACCAGATGAAACACCGAGAAGAGAGTTGAAAATACGACGCGCAGCGGAGTATTTTTGACGAACTTCGAGGTGTTTCATCTCGTGATGAAACAGTGTGTCGAATGTTTGATATTTCTCAAACAAAATGATTTTAGAGGCAGAAATCAAAGATGCAAAAATGAGCCGGTTTTCATCTGATTTTAAACACTCATTAAACATTGAAAATTTCCTTTGTATTTTCTTTATGAATTATTAATGAGTTCGAGAAGTAAATGTTTCTGTAGAGTCGAGTGCCGTAAATTGTACAAGGGTTTGCAAAGGAGTTTAGGAAACAGTTGTGGCTTAGCGCGTGTGTCTTCCCAAGTTTCTCGGGTTCGAATCCCGGCGTAGGAGACCGTTTGTGGATTATGTACTGGCTTCCTGCCCTTTGCTTCAATTACTTTATCCCCGGGTACTCCGATTTCCCCCTTTCCTCAACAACCAAGATTTTCAAATTACAATTCGATGAGGTATACAACACAATGAACCACTTCATGGAAGTGTAACCTCTAACTCGTTATTTACATATCTATTTATTTATTCATCGTAAATTTATTTTATTTATTTATCTATTTATTAATTTGTTATCTATTTATCCATTCTCCAACAGTTTTAGCAAACATGTCTTGCTCGTTTGAAGAAGGATTCTGTGAGTGGAGAAACGTGCGCGCCTCCAGGCTGGATCAGTTTGATTGGGCGTTGTTAAGTGGAAGCACGCCGAGCCAGAAGACTGGACCAACTAACGATCACACCTTGGGAACGTCAAGAGGTTGGTAACAAACATCCAAGTTGAAGAAAGAAGCAAGAGAACAGTTTTCAACTCGCACTATTTTTCCTCTTTTGCACCTGTTTCTGTTCCTCCTTACAGCTCCTTAGAAAGAAACAACTAAGCTTATTAGAGATCTTAAGATAGACCGTGTCCGTGAACGGGTATGGGCAAATAACCCGCACCAGTAACCATAAATACAGGTAGATCCTCTCTTAGCCCTTGGGACACGGCTAAGCTACCGGGTAAAATGAGGATACAATACTGACCGCCTAGTTATGGAAAATCATGTTCGCCTACCGTCTTTTCTGTGGGCAGAAACGATATATCTTAATCTCACTGATGACCAAGAGGTGTCCGATGAATACAGGTTCGTTTGACCGAAAATATGGAAAGAAACGTTTAATACAAACTGAGCCATTCTTCTCCTTAATATTAGCCGTTATAATTTGTTTATTCCTCAGGTTTTTACCAGGCATTATGCAGTTGAACCTCTTCATTAAGTGGCCACCCTCTATTAAGCAGCCAGTAACCAAAGTCCCGAAATAATTGTAGAAAAGAATGAGGAATTAAATCTCTATTAAGCGGCTATGGCCGCCTTTTGGCCGTGCCAATGAGAATTCTCCCATTGTTGTCACATCTATTAAGCGACTATCAAGCACTTAACGGACTACGTTTGGTTTTATTTTAAGAATATGATAAAGGAAAAAACAGTCCGAGAGAGACGGTGACGACCGATCGTGGACCAGTACTGCTGCCTCCGTCGCGCGTTTGTTTTAAAATAAAGTGATGTTTCTCCTAAGGATTATGCTAGTGTATAACCCGGTTTATGACGAACCTCTATCGAGGGGTCAACCTCCATTAGGCGGCCACTTAACGGCACACCAAGGGTGGCCGCTTAATGTAGTTTTCAACAATAATTTGTTTATTTCTCAGGTTTTTACGTATATATAGAAGCTTCTCATCCACAACGAAGGAATGACCGTGCGAGATTAATAAGTCCCGTAGTACGTGCTAGGAGTGTCTGCCTTAACTTCTGGTATCACATGTACGGTGACAAAATGGGCTGGCTTCGTGTTATGTACAGGCTCCTAAGGGGAAGAGATCGCAGAATATGGCACAAAACTGGAAACCAGAAAAACGAGTGGCATAATGAACGTCTAACGATTAATTCTTATCTTCCATATCAGGTAATCGTACTGAATACTTTATTTATCGTTGCAGTGAACTTAGTGGCTCTGACTAGTATAGCTGGAAGGCTCTCAAAGGGGGCTTATTCTCACGGCGGCCATATGGTCCCGAGAGACTGAAAAAGCTTTGTTTTACCACCTTCGACCTCGCAATGAAAAACTTGGGAGCGAGGCTACACAAGTAAAACAAAGCTACTTCGTCAAAACGCCTCCCAAGCTCATGTTACGAGGGTGTGATGTAAATAAACTTTCTCACAAGAGAGTCAGTAGGTGTCGCGTTACAAGCAACCGTTGAGGCCTTTGTATGAGAAATAAAATACTGAGATCTGCGAACGCTAAATATTATTTTTACTTTTTTTCTATAAAATAAATAAAGGAGACTTACCCTTGATGTGTTCCTGTGTTTTTTTGTGTGAATCCATCGGGTCAAACAATAACAGCCAAAAAACCGACTAAATGGATGAAATCACACCAAAAAGCACAGGAATACATCAAATGGCAAGTCTCCTTTATTTATTTTATAGCAAAATAAGTAAGAATAATGATATTTAGCGTTCGCAGACCTCAGTATTTTATTTCTCATACAAAGTCTCAACGGTTGCTTGTAACGCGACACCGACTGACTCTCTTGTGAGAAAGTTTATTTACATCACACCCTCGTAACAGGAGCTTGGGACACCTATGGTCTCTCGGGACAAAATGGCCGCCGTGTGACAAAGGCCCAACGTCCAGCAGCAGACAGGCTAGTTTTATTGCTTAGAAGAATGGTAGAAAAAGGAGGCCAGCTATTAGTCGAATGGGGTCTCGAACGTGCCCAGGGTCCCTCTGCCGCGGTGCCTCCCTACCGATGACCGTTCTTTTCCCGCGTCTGGCCTTCGGCAAGCGTGCGGTAGTCCACCTTAGTACCTTAGCTGGTGAAAAAAAGAAATCTTATGCTGAGCGAGCGCGACCAGAGTGAAACGAATAACGCTCTCCGAGTCCTCTTTAGGTATTGCTATGCTACACAAGTACGTTCTCGAATACTTTCCCCAAGGTTAAAACCCTTTATTTTATTTTATTTTATTTTTTCTGACTGTCTCTTTTACGCAGAGCCCTTATTGTCCCACTAGGAGGATGCTGGGGGCAAAAGGAAGTGCGCAGTGGACGATGGGAAAGGAAAAAGCAGGAGAGCTTCTTCCTTCCCTCCCTAGCTATAATAATAATAATATTATTATTATTATTTATATTATTATTATTATTATTATTATTATTATTATTATTATTATTATTATATTTGGAATGCCAATGCGAGTTTCTGCCTTTGGCCTTGGGTCCTTCATCGTTGCATATGAATTCGAAACAAGAGAGAGTGATGTAAAAGAACCCGTGGCACTGATCCAATAAAAAATGAATTTAAAACCGAATGTATAAACAGTAAACGAACAAAGCCTCTGAATATGAGACGAAGCCTACTTGAATGGTCTCTCTTATCAAAACTAATTCAGAACTCTGTAGATTACCGTAGAGCATTTCAACCCGTTGCCATAAGTGCAATGGCTCGACGCCTCATTCTTGCAATGCCATATTTATCTGTAATTATGATATCGGTTTATTTTTTTTCAGATTATATTCGAGGGTATTCGAGGCAACGGTTTTTCCAGTGATATAGCATTAGATGATATAAAGATTTCAAGTGGTGGATGCTCTCCAAAATCTCCCGAAAGTAGGTTTGTAGAATAAATTTAGTTTTACGGTTGTTTTCGCTCCTGGGGTGGCCGTACAGGAAGTCATGCAACATTCGAATAGAGTTTTGGTTTTAAGAGTTGGGGCTCTTCATGTAGTTGTTATTTACCTTTTGAATAACCACGCGGAAAACGGGATTTATACTGGATTGCTTTGTGTAGAAATGGCCTTTGTTAATACCTCGATAATGTTTAACCGTACGGCGCGGAAAGTAACGACCGCCGCTCGTTACTTTCCACTTTTAGGAGACGCTACTTTCGAGGGTTCGTTACCTTCGGAGCTCAAACTCTATTGGCTTTGGCAGAGAAACTGAAAAAAAAAAGAAAGTAGCAAAACCTTTGGTGATACCGCAACATGCATATCTTGCACATTCGTGCAGTATGTATCAAATCAGGAATGCGCAGCTGTCGTGTGTTTGCGCATTATAACTGTCAATTATTTGAAGCTTTTCCCTCAGCAGTGGCGGATCCAGACCTTCGGATGAGGGGGGGAGGGGGGGAGGGCGGTCATCCAGACCCCTCAGATAAGGGGGACCCGGTCTCCAAAAACCTTTTTTTGGTCTAAAAATAAGGAGGGCCGGGCCCCCCCGGCCTCTTCCCTGTCTCCGCCACTGCTCAGAATCCTTTTTTGACTTCTGATTCATGACCAGTAGAAAAAAAGGCGTAAATTCTTGGTTGGCTACTTTCGTTGGATCGCTATGGGATAATCGCGTTAACACCCATGTATAGTGAAATGAAAAGTGAACTCGTCTTGTTTTATTGTTTGCAACATGCTGAGCAGCCAGAAACTCTACAATTCTTTCTTAATTGAAAGAGAACAATGTCTTAACCCTGGCGAAGATTGAACACGTGACCTCTGAATTATTGCTTTTTAAAGCCTAGTCTACTTACGTGGCCAATCGCGAACAGGGAGGAGAATTTAGAAAAAATTAGCCTAAGGCTTGAAAGCCGAAGCCGTGAACACCGCGTGAAAAAGTCTCTGGCACCCAGGATAAGCACGTATATCTTATGGCTCATTTATTCCCCACTCTTCAGATCCACAGCAGTGCACAAGCGATAAATCAAGATACTGCAAAGCTGCAATTCGCCTAAACTGGTGCTCTTCATCAAGGTGGAGTAAGATGTGCTGCAAAACTTGTGAAAGGGTTACCCTGGGTGGATCTTAACCACCCTCCTCTGCTCCAGGCAAATAGCCAGTGTGAAATGTGAGGCATTCGACACAAATGTATTTTCAATGGACGTCTTGAGAAGAGATTTCTTGTTGTACAGCTGATACGATAATAATATAATTTACCATTAGAGAAGTTATAAAATTGAAATAACTTTATTATTCTGTAAATCCCACTGGAGTGGATTCTTTCCAGGTTCAGAGAGGATTTGCACAATAATTTCTTTCCTATATACCTGTCAAACATTTAATGATTAAGTAACCGGGGCATCTCGGAAATAAGGAATTCAAATTTGGGTTCTGGGACAAAATCTTAAGAGGGCTTCGGATTTTTTCCCTGCCTCTTCCTTCCCTTGTCAAAGGCCTGTCACTCAGACCACCGGTTACCGTATTTACTCGAAAGAGCACCGTAGCCGTGAAAAAAAACTCGATAAGCTCGTATTCTCCCGCAACAATGCGGGGTCATTGATTTTTGACCACGTGTTGGCATGACTGGAATGTTAATACGGCTGATATTATGCATTGTTGCAGATCTTTAATGTAAACTTACACTCTTTATAAGTAGCGAACAAACCAAGCATAAATGAAGAAATACCGTGTATTGTTTAGTTATTCGCAATCGAAATGTTTTAAACATTGCAGAACAAGTTAGCTTGCTTGGCACGCGCTTGAAGCGAGGGGAAAGGGGAATTAAGAATAAGGCGCGCGCAAATTCATAAAATCGTGCCAAAACTAAGGCGGGCGAGTATATAAAGGCGCGCGGGAGAAGGTGGAGGAAGGGTCCCCATCCGTCTTTCCTCGTGCACTTTAATTCTGTTTCCCTTTTAATCGCCCGCCAGGCTATGCACAAGTCAAAATGGTAAACATCGCAGTGCTTTTTCGTGTACATACGGTAATCAGTCGTAAAATATATATTATTTTCTTTTAATTATTACTCATGTACGTATCAATATGGTTTGACATTATCACACTTTTGTGCCAGGTACGAGTATTAAAACTGTTTGTATTGAAGTTATTTATGTGTCAATTGCTTGTATGCAGACTCTTAAAACGAGTGACGCCAACACAAATAATTTCAATTTTAGTTTTCCATACATTCCCTGTGATAGCAACAAGGAGAAGCAGTTGAAAGATCAGAGCATTTTTCGCTGCTGATCATCTTTTCCTTCTTCAACATGTGTGTCTGATACAACAGTGATATCATTCGCAACAAAGATTTTTCGTCATTGTCACGGCTCAATGAGTTTTCTACAGATGATGTACCTTACATAAATAAAATCTCTCTTATTATCCCAAGACCCAACTCCTTTTAAGAGCAGTTTTTTTGTTGGTACGTTGATTAAACGCTCTACTTTACTGGAACTAACCCAAGGTTTAGCTTTTTGGGAGAATTCGGAAGATCGATTCAGGGCAGCCTTTAGCACGAAGGGCAGATTTTACATGGTAAATCTCCTCCTTCTCGTCCTTATCATTGGTAACCAGGTTCTCCGCTAGGTGGATCAAAGTGCGAAACGCAAAACTTTTATGTTCAAGGCCGCGGTCACACTACAGACTTTTACCTAGGTAATTACCTAGGGCAAATTCATCAAAACTCTCCCGAGGGAAATTCATCTCGGATTTTGCTTTACCTAGGTAAAAAATTCTGGGAAGGTCACACTACTGATATCGGCTCCCAAGGTTTTCACGCACATGAATTTTTTGGAGTGTAAATGTAGGATGGTAAGATGCGCAGGGATCTAGCAGATCAAAGAGATGTTTTTTCCTTTTATCGCTCTGTTATTTCTTACGCTAATTCAACGTGCAAGGTGAAGACAGGCGAAGACGCAGACGACTCGTGCCCCCAAAATTTGGATCACTAACCGTTTCTGGGAAACAAGAGATTTTTTGCCCGATTAAAATCGTCACGATTTTACGACCTCACGTTATCGTTTCCGGCTATCGTAATCGTGATCGAGGCTAATCTGACAAAGACAGTAGTTCAAGTTCTGCAAACAGTCTCAGCACTGCCACACAAAAATACTTTGACATTTTCATTTTATTTACCCTGACTTAAACAAATGCTAGTGGTTCTTTGCAATATATTAGAAAGCAGCAAAAAGCAAACTAGAGCCATTAACCTTTGTCCATTATTTTTCAGCACTGCCACACAAAAATACTTCGACTTTTTCATTTTATTTACCCTGACTTAAACAAATGCTAGTGGTTCTTTGCAATATATTAGAAAGCAGCAAAAAGCAAACTAGAGCCATTAACCTTTGTCCATTATTTTTCAGCACTGCCACACAAAAATACTTCGACTTTTTCATTTTATTTACCCTGACTTAAACAAATGCTAGTGGTTCTTTGCAATATACTAGAAAGCAGGAACAACAAACTAGAGTCATTAACCTTTGTCCATTATTTTTTTAATTTTGCACTTCCTGGAAAATTTAGCAAAGAATATTGCTTATTGTATAAAATCTTTAAAAGCAGATATGGACCTTGATGAAAGTTCATACATCCACAGTACACCCTTTAGTTAATGTAATTACTAGCATAACGTACATGTTGACAGAACATGATGTATTACAAGTACATAATTGTAAAACTGAAAATAAAGTCAACATAAACCAAACACAAATTGCTGTTTCCTTATAACGACGACAGACACATTATGAAGATGGATTTGCTCGCTTGCACACTAAGGGGCCAACATTGTCACCAGTTTCCTTGTTGTGTTGATTGTGGCTTCCATCACAGAGTGGGAACTGAAAATAAGGAGAAAACCTGTTACTTCACTGATTTGAGCCTGCTAAAACTCATAGAACAGAATTCAGTATCTTCATAGTTGTTCTTAATACAGTAGAACCCTGGTATCTTGAACTCTGAAGGGAAACAAAAAACAGTTCAAGTGAAGGGAATTCAGTTTGAGTTAGCAGGGAATTCGAGTTATCCAAGTTCAAGTTATTGAACTGTACTTTTCCTGTGGAACTGACAATACTTTGCATAGCAATCAAGTGATCATTTTTGTTATACTTGTGAAATTAATGTTTGGATGGTGATCACTCTTATGGGTTAAAGGGTTTCAGAACACAATTGATTCATTCAGGTTTGATTAACTTTCATTGGAGGCAAAGGAATCCTGGGGTAAGGGGGTTACCAGGGGTGGTTCAGGTGGCTAGCCACTCCCCTTTAGAATAGCCCACCAAAAAATATCATACGTGAAAAAACAAATGAAAATACGTTGGTCACAAAGCATATAGAAACGTGTGGGTCCCAAAAAGCCTTGTGAGGCCAACCAGCCTTCGTCCTTCCTAAATCGCCATGTTTTGGGACAATCATAGGACAACTCGCAATAAATTAACATATAAAATATTATTGGAGGCCGATTAGTATCAGCCAACCCCCATTTAAAATCCTGGATCCGCTCCTGGTTACAATTTCGAAGGGGGTGGGTGAAAATGTTAATACATTTGATTTCTTTAAGACATATGTTCTCTTTTTCTGCAGGGGGAATGTGTTGGTAGTTTGATTTTGTCTTTCTTGGGGCGTGAAACTCAACTTTTCCTGATTTTAAGAGATGTGTACAAAGTCTTGATACATTTGATCAGTATCTGCAAACAATGCCTTAATGATTATGATATGGGAGACTCAGCCCAAGGTGGTAGGAGCGGGGAGTGTTACTGAGTGGGTGTTAGTTCATCATTCCAGGGAGGTGGGCGGAGCACATACATAAGTGGAGGGAACATCAAAAAGACTGAGCATGCTATTGGGAAGAGAAACTGACCTTGAATAAGAAGCCCACAATGCACAAGCGTGTTACGTAATAGACTTTGAGGCTATTTTATTACGGAGTCCCCTGAGAATAGTATCATTAACTACCAGTTTTACAGACCTTAATTTTTTTGCTCAAAGATATCAGTTGAATATTGTAGATGCTCTAAAATTCGAGTTAAAATTAAGGTTATGTATTTAAATACATTTTTGTCCTCAATAAGCGGGAAGAAGGGGGTTAGGGCGAGGATATTTAATGGCACAGACCCCTGAGATCAAAAACAAAAAATGTGATTCGCACAAACCGTTTTCGACTTCCAACAACGACAGAAAGCGGTCTTTTCTCCTAAATCTTCTATTTGAATAATATCGGCCACTTTATCTTTTTCCTTCTGCTTTGTCTTGTTCACCCAATCCGCATCTGCCTTCTTCGACGGCTTGGAATTCGAAGGTAGGATCGCTGAAATAACCAAGTAAACAACTACAGAGGTCGTAACTACAAAAGGGACCAGCTGCACCCACTCATTGCCGGAAAGCTTTGCAAATCCGCCGAAAGTAGAGGGGATCGGTAAAGATTTGAGATAGTATGGAAACTGAACCTTGATAAGACGAGAAACTCCCTCCATCTTGGATCAATATCACGTGACCTTACCCCCTTCTGTGCATTCACTCGAGACCCAACAGTCCCGGGCGTAATTTTTATTCTTTATTTTTATACTGTGTTTTTCAAAAAAAGAGAGCAGCAACAAAAACTACTAGTTTAGCTTAAAAAATTATCTTCGGAGCCATCCATTCAGAGATTTGAAGTTATGATCATCAAAACAAAAAATGGGAATTACTTCTGAGCCTTTCACGAGCCAGCAGTCCTTCTCAATACAAGAAAATATGTCGTGAAAGCCTCCTTGAAAGGTACATTTTCGGTCATGGCGGACGAAGGGGTTGATCAAGACAGTCACCAAGAAATTGCCGTAACAAGCAATGAGAACAGGTGTATTCATTTCTTTGGACTTACTTTTCCTCCTTCTGGATTTTTTGGACGAACTTTAACTCGAGGCTTTATCGTTTTAGTGAGCTGGGCAGTTTTATGGTCTGTTTTGGGTGACAATGCTTTACCGCGCGGCAATATCTTCGGAATTTTTAGTGTTGTTGTTCTTGCCGCTTTAGGCGGCTTTTTAACTAGAAAACTGTCTAGAGATGCTCTTCCATCTCTGCTGGGTATGCTAGTAGTCGGCTTTATTCTCAGAAATGTGCCAGGAATTAATGTGGCTCGTCACATTGACAAGAAATGGTCCGCTACACTCAGAAACATGGCTCTTGTCGTTATTTTGACTCGTTCTGGTCTTGAGCTCGACCCAGGTGCTTTACGAAGACTAAAATTCACCGTCATTCGTTTGGCTTTTTCTCCATGCGTCGGAGAGGCTATCACTGTGGCAATTGTTGGGAAGTTCTTGATAAATATGCCTTGGCTTTGGGGATTTCAGCTTGGGTGCGTGAGTGACACGTTATTAAATTACGTGAAAATATTTGAAATGATAAATATAAGAATATCATAGATCGGAACCGCAAAATAAGAAATCGATGCAAAGAGGATCATCACTTATTTCTTGAAAATTCATACATTTATTATTTCATCTTCTTCTTTCTCAGTTATGTTATGAACTAATTTAATGACCAGCCCAGGTGGGCTACTTCAGATTTCAAGTGACAGGGATGATTGAATGGAGGCAGAAATCAATACCCCAAAAAAATCCCTGGACCAAAATTCAACCCCCCCAAAAATCCCATGCCGAATTTCAGAGCCGTAAAAATTTCCAGAGGAACTATGCGGCCAGGATACGCAGGAACTATCACGAATCTTCAGATTGTTTGGAATACCCAAAAAAATCCCTTCTTAAATCAAGCTACTCAAAAAAGTACTTGCGAAAATTTTCCTTCCCAAAAAAATCCCAAAATCGAAAATTTCATACTCAAAAAATCCTTCGATCATCCCTGTCACTTGAAGTCTGGAGTACCTCCCTGGGATGACCAGCTGTCAGGGTTTGAATCCCAACAAGCCTGAATTTTTTTCAGGCTTTCTCATAGCAACTGCATAAGTTGCATCAGTCTGTAACTGGGTTGACCTTCTCTGCACTTGTAAAAGTTTTTATTAGTCAGAGAGTATTTGTGACTGCTCAATGCAGCTGAATGCATGTGTTGATTGATACATGTGACTGCATGATGTGGTTGTAATGTTTTAGCCCACAATTGACCTGTTCACCACTGAGTTCTTCAGTAGCATTATAGTTGTTAGAGCATCCTACAATGGTGCAGAAAATCCCAGATAAAATTCGTTTTTTTTCCGCGTTCTTCTCACCACACATACATCTCATTAAATCATTAAGTAAGAAAAACGTATTTATCCTCTGTCGTTATCTGGCTTTGGAAATAATGAAACAAATAATTCAAGTGGAACATAACATCCCAACTGGTATGAGGCATGGTATGAGAGAAATACACACACTCCGGTAAATATTGTCTGTATACCACATAGGCAGCTATGTGGTATACAGACAGCTATGACCCTGTGGCTTATACATGTATGGGTAGTCTAGTTGAACTTTTTACCTCACGTTGTAGTATTTTTTATAGGTTTGTTCTTGGAGCAGTCACACCAGCAGTTGTAGTTCCTCAGCTTCTCACTCTACAAGGAAAAGGGTTTGGCGTTGAACAGGGAATCCCCACTTTAGTGATGGCAGCATCATCTTTTGATGATGTCATTGCGATAAGTTTGTTTGGCATTTTTCTGGGTATTGCATTCTCAGAAGGTTAGTAAGTTTTACAGTGAAACCAAGAAAACCGTGAACTCCAGAAATAATTATTTCTGAAATGTTATTGTCTTGCAAGAGAAAAGACAATCAGGCATGAGAAAACTAAGCCACAAGCAAGAATGTTAACTAGTTTGTGGTTTTGTGGCCATTTCAGGTGTCCTGATCTTTGCTGTGATTGGTCGTAACACAATAAACATTCCTGAGACATTCAAGTGTTCACGGTTTTCCTGGTCGCACTGTAACCTTTTGCACAGCATATTCATGTTGTTACTCTGAATTCACCCTGATCAGTTTTTTTTTAAGTTCATTCACTAACTTCATTAGGGAACCCCCTAATTCATTTCCCAATTCATTAATTAAAGTAACTGAGAGAGTATCTTTCTGTACTGCTTCCACGTTCTGGCCTCAGTCTGCAGTTGTGTTGTGTTTAAGTGACGGATGCAGCAGTAAAATGTTATGTTGGGGGTGAAGGAAGTATGTTTCGTTCTTTGAACTTGTTTTTGAGATAATAAGGGGGCCAAGGGGCATTCCATCTGATTTGTCACTGGTCTTGTAATGAATACGTCTGAGAGTGTACAATTTCGTGAATCTCACTGTGTGCACATTATCTTCCAAACAGGAACTTGTTTTTTTGTTGTATATAACAAAGTTGCTGTTGTATTTCATATCCTCCCTTTTGACAGGGAACATGGTATTTAACATCTTCAGAGGTCCCATTGAGCTGTTAATGGGTTTGGTGTTTGGAAGTCTGGTGGGGGCTGTATGTTGGTTCTTACCAAGCAAGACTGAGGTAAAGTTAACTTTGCTCACTTACTTTTCCTTGATTGAATAGAATGAAAGAATGGATCGCTTTTATGCCGCAGCCAGTGATTTTTTTTTTGTGTAATACAGTTGAACCTCTATATGCGACCTCCTCTTGTAAACAACCACCTCAGCTCCAATAAGAAACTAGCCTGAGAAAACAGCCAACATTTGGCAATGCTACTGCTGGTTTCCCCGCCAAATGACGTCTGAGAAACAAGCGCAGAAATTCCATACTGATGAAGCGTCACTACCCAGATCTGGGTAGTGCTTCTGATTGGTCGTGCCGCTTAGTAAATTTGATTCAACCAATCAGAAGTGCTACTCAAATCTGGGTAGTGGCGCTTCATCAGTATAGAATTTCTACACTCGTTTCTCAGACATCATTTGGTGGGGAAACCAGTGGTAGCGTCGTTAAATGTTGGCTGTTTTCTCAGGCTAATAAGCAACCTATCCAAAATACCACAATTTTCCTATTTAACCCTTTTAGTCCAAAAGCGACTAACATCTATTTTCTCGCAACAATATCAATAAACAATCAAGAGAAAAGTTTGTGAGAATAAATGAAATAGTCACCGAAGAGAAAATGCTCTGATCTTCAACCAAATTCTCTCAACTTATTCTTTAAGGAAATGTATCGAGACCAGTTTGGAGAATTTGTATGTGGATATTGGGGGCTTAAAGGATTAAAGCCTTGCAGCTAGAACCCCTCATGTAGGTGACCACAACCACTTTTCAGGGCTGATAGTTTATTATTTTTCCATTGTTTTCAACCTCTTGTAAGCGACCACTTGATGCATGTTTTGAGAGCTTAGTATTCTATATATACTACACTGCTCAGACTACAAAAAGAACTGTGAGTAAAAACATAAGGTACATTTAGATATGTCCAGACCTCTTCTCAGGTGAGAACCCCTATGGTTAGATTCTTTTAAGGGACCACCTCCTATAAGGGATCACTAAGTCTTCGCATTTTGCATAGTCGCTTTCAGGAGGTTTGACTGTATTACTCATTTTCCTTTATTTTTCCATGCAGTCAGACAGATCTCGTAATAGGTTTGTGATTCTTCTTGGCTGTGCCTTGCTCTCTGTTTTTGGAAGTAACATGGCTCAATTTTCAGGAGCTGGAGCTTTGGGTGTACTTGTGATGGCTACTGTGGCATCATACGGCTGGGGAGACTCAGAAAAGGTTGGTTGGTCAGTAATGAAATCAATGCCAGCATCCATTGCATTAGAGTACCATGACATGTTTTTACCACAAAGTAGCTTATTATTGTGTCCATTTTATCAGCTCATGCAAATTTTTTGATTCTACGCCAGAAATTTTAAAACCCTGCAATTATTTTGATTAGAAAATACAGTGAAACCTTGATACAAGGAAGGCCCAAGGGACTGATAAGATAGGATAATGTAATTATGTTTGCTATGAGGTTTCATTATGTCAAGGTTCTTTTCCATATATTTTACTATTACTGGGAAGGAATAATTATTGATTGTTAATATACCAACGACTTTCTGATACAGAGGTTTGGTAAATCAAGTTTCCACTGTAAATTTGCTAACTCTTGGTTGGTTATGTTAGGGGTCAAATTTGATTTCAGGTTGAGATATTTTTTCCTGGGTTGATTCTCATAGGGCTATTAGCCAAAGGGAAGTAAGAATCAACCTAACCTTAAACCAAAATTAACCTGAAATCAAATTTGACCTGTAACAGTTGCATGCAGATCATAAGGTTTCCATGTTTTTGTATTGTGATATTTTTAGGCTCCTATTGCTGATGCTATGGCCATTGTGTGGGAATTTTTTCAGCCTCTGCTGTTTGGTTTAATAGGTGCTGAAGTTAGTATTGAATACATGGATAGTGCACTAATTGGTAAGCCTCTGTAATGTAAATGTGTAATTGTCTCTATGAAAACATACTCAGTATACAGCTATTTTGAGAAAGGTTGTCAGTAAAACTGTGCATGCCACAATCCAGAAAGGTAATACGGGATATGATCAATGCACTTTTCCTGACACTGTAGCTGTCAAATCTACTTTTGTTGCTTTCCTTTAGCACTCGTAAACATACGTCAATGGCCTCTCGTGCCATCCTTTGAAATTTCTTTGAACAAAACAGCGAACTCAAAACCACCCACAATATCTTTCGTGATTGTCGCGTGCACTATTTCCGACAACCTTTCTCGAAACAGCTGTATATGTAGAGCTAAATCTAACACAGTACTAGTCTAGGAGGTTTGTATGTTGCTCGGGGCTTCTTTTATTCTTTGCCAAGAGTACAAAATAAGAAACATTTTTGGTTATCCTTTTCTGCCCTGGGTATTTTCTAGCCGGGCTGGCAACGTTACATTTACAAAATTACATGTTATTTGGATGTAAAAAAGACTGCTCACATCCTCTCTACATTATAACGAAAACTGAAAGGAACGTGCCAAATAGCGAGCCAACAAAGTGATTGCAGGAAGGGGCACTTATGTCCAGAAACGTAAGAAAACTCGGAACTTGGATACTTCATACAATTAATTCTTATCTCCCCTGACTGCATTAAGGTGAGGGCTACGAATAGATGACACTTCGTGATGTCTGCCATAAAGAGCAAAAATCTCAATAACTTGCAGTCATTGACATATCTTTCAGTCCCTTTTATCCAATAAAGATAAGAGAAAATGGAGGGCTCTAAAAAACTGTAAAAAGTCTATTTGAACTTATAATAATAATATTACGTTTGGTTCAGTATTTTTGTGTTATTTCACTGTAGGTAAAGCTTTTGCTTTGCTCACAATGGCCATGGTTGTTAGACTGATAGTAACTTTCATTGTTGTGTCGGGAAACAAGCTCAGTATTAAGGACAAGATTTTCGTGGCGATTGCTTGGTCACCAAAAGCCACTGTACAGGTAAGACCCCAGGCTTATGCCACAATGGGATGAATGTGAACAATTTGGTTGGCATTTCAACGCGGATTACTGTATATTGTATATTGTATATTTTTATCTGTCTTTTCATTGGCTAAGAAACTACATTTTATTATGGAAATCAGCGCAACCTACAGATTAGTTATTTATCTGCCAGCTATTCTTTAGGTTGCGCACGCAATTCATGATATCAAGAGAAATGTCAAACTGACTTCTGTTCGACGTCGTGTTTGTCGTTGTTTGCCATAAAACGATGTATTATAAAAAAAAGTATTGGAAGACTACCGAACAGCCGTATTTTTACGGTGGCTAAGAACTGCTATTCTAGCATTTGCAACAAGGGACTGGAGCGAGGGTGAAACAGGGAACACGCCCTACGTGGGGTATCTGTGCTTTCGGCGCCTCGCGGCTTGCAAACATAAACACCAGTTACTTTTTTTAATTATAAAACCTACTGCTTTGCAGTCTAACGACTTTCCCACCTTCCGTGCATTATAAATTCTCGTAGATCCAAACTAGGTTGAAATGATTTTGACTTTAGTATTAGATGGCAACGCGATGACGCCGGTGGCGAAAACTTAATTCTCTTAAAAAGTGAATTCATGCTGTCTTCAAATTAATCGCTCTTACTCCATGTCAATCAATTTGTCAGATATTGGTGACTTTTTTCTGGAGTTGAATTTTAAAGGACTGTATCTAGTTTAAAAAAGAATTAGCAGGCGTTGTCTTGTGTTCACGTCTTCCACAAAAAGCCTTTGAAATTAGGCAGTTTCACGTCGTGGTCATGCAACGACGGCAAAGAAAGGGTAAAAAATAGTGACGCAAGTAAAAAGTTGTTGTTTTACCAATCTAATCCTATAACTCTTTTTCCATTCTTGTTGCCGTCTCGTCGTCATGGTTACTTAATACCCGTATTGTCTTTGCAGGCCGCCATAGGGTCAGTATCATTGGACATGGCGCGCGAACGAGGTTTTACCGGTATGCTTCAGGAAGAGCTCGGAATTCAGGTAATAACAGTTCATAATCCCCTTCTGGTTGCTCTTTTCGTACTTGTACACGTCCAATGATGCCAAAAAGGGTCTAAAATACTCATGATGGCCTGCGCACTCCCTTTTGGCCCTGTACATGTGGTTCAGTTGGTAAAAAGGTTATTTAAAGTTGAGGCAGTGGTCTTTTTTCTCTTTCCTTCTCTGGAACAATTTCCGGATTTTAGGCTATCGCCGAGGTTGACATTCATGAGATTCTATAGCAACCACATCTAAATGCTACGCGCCGGGCTTCACTGCAGTTTAGCCCATCGGCAAAGTCTTCCCCTCTTGCTTTTTCAGTCGCCAGATGACAACTGACATGCAACCATGCACTCTCAAACTCCTGTGCACACGTCATGCTCTTTTTCGAGGAAACAAACAGAAAAGCTTTAGTAGTCTTTGGTTAGGAACGACGCTGTAGTCTGAATTTAAGATATGGATCTGAAAATTAATGGCCATCTCTAATTATACCGTCTGAAATTAGATGCAGTCGCCTTGCAGTTACTGTCGGTTTTAATACAACTTTATGTTTTGGTAAGCTTGCTATCAAGACTCAGGACTGATGAAAGCACTTCCTAACTGAAATGTACCAGGTATGTGCAGATCTAATCTGCATTCGCTGGGTGCACGCGTGTTTTCGTTCGTGTAATCGCCACACCAGCCACGGCTTTACGAACACAAAAAAGCCACTTTCGCTAGCCCAAAAAATACGCCTTCATTTCAGACTGGCGCAGTTTCAGTTGGTCGTACGGTGGTACCCCGCCTTACGGCCATCTCGGTAATACGGTCACCGCGTTATTACGGCCAGTTTTTTTCGGCCCTCAAAACGGCCATACATTTCCTTATAAAAAACCGTTAACGCGTTCACGTGCACCCGTTAATACAGCCAACGGCCACATTTTAAAATGCCAAACAGTAGAATCCCTTATAATTTCACCCCGTTAATACTGCCACTCGTTCGAAATTTAGAAAATTAAAATGCCTGTGACATGTCAGTTTTATTAACCAAGTAATCTGATCTTATTCTTTTACTCCTTTTAGACTACTGTACACTTGTGGCGATTTATAGCCGAATTCTAAGAGTTTCATGTACTGAAGGAAAATTTTAGGTAGTTTTTTTCAATTACTGTACGCGATATCTACGTTCCGGTTGTTTATTAATAAGAACAATACTTTGAATGCGATGTATGGTGTACTTGTCATTACGGCCCTGGGGCCCGTTTCTCGAAAGTCCCGGTAACTTTTTGGGCGCGAAGTCAAATACTCAAATCGAAATATAGAGACTAAGAGCGCAGGTCTTGGCTAGCAAACTACACCATTTCGTTTCATTAACTGATAGTTTTATCATGTTAGATGCAAAACTATTGAAACTTCGATCTTTAACGTAAACGGAGACAGCTTACCGGGCCCATTAATTATCGGGACTTTCGAGAAACGACCTACTTAAAATTCCCATTAACTTTACAGATATTGACCATAGCCGTGTTGTCCATCCTTCTCACGGCTCCAACTGGAGCCGTGGGAATTGCCGTCTCAGGCCCCCGGTTGCTGCGCAGGTCCGAAACGAAAGAAGAGACTGGAGACAAAGGAGAGGTGGAACCCATTCTAGATGGTTCCAATCCCCAGATGGATTCAACCGTGTAACGAGGACCAGAATGAATCAGCCACGAAGTTCTGGGTACGTTCTGTTATCCGGGGTTTTATGGAAACGAGGAACCAAGCATACAGGGAATTTTTTGAAATGAGAAGCATTTCATCTTTCTCTTTCCTTTACCGAACTTAGTTTTACCATATTTATTTATTTTTGATGTAAATAATCGTTACGAATTTGGTCCAGACATGAATGGACTTTGTGTGACACTAACAAACTCATTTCTAATATGAGCAACTCAGCAAGCAATGAGAAGAGACAAGAAGCGAACGTTTTGAGTGATCTTTTTATTCTTTATGTCTGTTTGGTTGCCATTTTGCGGCTCAAGATATTGCAGATATTCAAGATTTTACACCACAAGAAAGTATTGACTTCTTTCTCTCTCTTCTTACAAAATTTCAAAATAATAAATAGATGAATAAAACAATCTTCAGTGTCTGTTTTTACACCTTTTTCATAATTATCATTCTTAATAACAAACTGCGTCACACCACTAGCTGCAATCTTACTTATCCTTAGATTTAGCCTCGAGTGGCGAGTGAAGCGGGCCGCGAGAGTAACCCGTGACTGTCTCCTTTCGCGCGCCCTTCGCGCGTGGCCTCTGACGATATCCCCGAACTGGAGAGCTTGCTCGCAGGCTACCGTAGATACTACATTAGACGTAGGTCTTGTCAAATCCATGGCGATCGATCACCGACCCGCATGTCGGACATTTCGCTGCGACATGCTGAGAGATTTTCCGCATGCGCGGCGAGGAGGGTCTGCTGGAAGTTGAATTCGGTGTATTGTTGCAATCTTCCCAGGCTTGTGTAAAGTTCATATTCGTTGGAAGGTTAGGAACAATTCCTTTTGATTTAAAAAATGCCACAATTTGTTGTGAGATGTTTGCAAAGACTTCACGAGCCTGGCGAAAGAAAAAGATGTCAATAAGTTAAAGAAATTTGGGCGACACTCTTACATTAGAGCTCAGCCAGTGACGTATCTCGGGGAAAAAAATGAGAAAACTTGAAAATAAGTTAAAATGACGTTTTTCAGGGCTCAGTTGTTCGAAGGTCGATTAGCGCTAACTCGGGGTTAAATTTTAATCCAGGTTTCTTTTTCTTTTGTTTGAAGGTATTTTCTCGGATAATTTTCCCTATTCTTTTTGGAGCATCCAATCACCTAATTGCAGACCAAAAGAATTAAACTGAATTTGCTTTTTAAGCTTTCATATCTAAATTTAAAATTCGCACCAACCCTGGGTTATCTTAGCCCTGCTTTGAACAACCCGGCCCTGGTTTTTACGAATGCAATCTGTTGCGGTCTTGTCCAATTGCGTAGGTGCCACGGTTAGCTCCCTTGTGTTTCTTAGATGTTCTGCAGTTTTGAGGTGGTACTTTGATATTTCAGTCCCCCTTCGAAAGTACTCAACTTTCCTTAGCTAGTTCAAAAGACAACTGGAGTTCCTTATTGTCAGCACAACTGAATATTCGTATTCTCAAGCGACACTCTGAAAAGGAAATGTCCGAGCGAAAGTGTGTCCGAGTTAGACGTTTTGGAAACTTTAGGCACTGTTCCACCTAGCCATTGTTTGCATGATACGTTCGTTGCTTTGTGTGACACGACCATAAACATGTCTCGCAAAGTTGACTTGACAGTAATTGTTACGAAGAAAAGAAATTGCCCTTCATGGTTAACGCTTGCTGCAACGAACCGCGTATTGCGAGACACGTTTATTTAAGATTTCTCTCAGGGACTGTAACCGTCAGCAACGTACCCCTGGTCTTGTGCAACTTGCATCGCAACAAAAATTACGAGGCATGTTATCACATAAAAGCACCTTAATTAACAGTGCCTTTAGTTATGATCTACCAAAATACTTGAACCAAACAACCTCTGGGCGAGATACACAGTGAAAGTTATTCAAAGTTATCACGGACTATAGAATGACATAATTAGCTTACCACGGAATCGTTCACTCCCGGATTTGTGGCGTGTCGTCTTAAGGACAGAAAATCCGTATTATTGCGTGTCAGTGTCTTTCCATCCTTTGCTCTTAGAGGTCTTCTGCTCTTTGAAAACAGCTCATCCTAAATAACAATATAGGACGTTATTATCATTTTCTGCATTCCAAAAAAAAGGAACGCAATGTGCACGTGCGCGCTTATCGCTTGTTTTGACTCTTGATGGTTACTTGAATGCAATCTTTAGACCCCAAGTAACAATGGCACCAATTTTCCTGTTTTTCAGGATCATTCCCCAGAAACATATCCTCTGTTCTTTCTTAGTATAGTTACAACAGCATTATATAATGCGATTGGTTATCAGTAACCCTGAAGCTCCTTCGCACGCAAGCACGCACTGTAAAGGAGTGTTGCACTTGAATAGGTTTCATGTCTCAGCACAATAAAAAAAACCCGGGAGATATTGTGTTTATTAAAATAAAAGTAAATAAAAGTTAAAACTGTCAGCTTTTATTTCAAACTATTGTTTTAGTTGTATTTAGTTGGTAATAGAACTGTCTTTGTCAAATTCATAATGGTAATGGAACTGAGTGGAGCCCAATTTGGTCTGTAATCACAACTTATCACCACTGGACGATACAGGATCCTGTTACCAATTAATCATAACTAAAACAAAATTTAAAGGTAACAAAATTTCTAATTTTTTATTATTATTATTATTTAAATAAAACCTTCTAGTGTCAGCAGCCTATGGTGTGTACTGCCCGATTACTTAGGCATGAGGCGTACAGTCCTATCACACTGTTCTATTAGTGATGAAATCAGGACAACTGATGACCAATCACTTGAAATTTTTGTTATAGTTGTGATTAATTTGAAAATACTATATGACAGAAGCTTTAATTTTCTTATTGAGCAAGCATTCACATGACTTTTACGTTTCTTACCATTAATCTAAAATCAGCTGGTCCTACGCCCGCAACTACGATGGAGAGTGCTAAATTCCCGACTTCAATTAACGTGCTC